CAGTGTATTGTCCCTCAAATTAAAAATGCTGCTAAGAATTCAGGGATTAGGAATGAAACTTTGGGTTCCAATAATTGGAAGGTTAGGGTAATTTTTAGAGTTTTAATTCAGAGGCAAAAGGAAGGAAAAGGATTTGTAAAGAAATAATGTGAGCTAGAAGAAAGTAAAGGACAAGTATAAATGACTGCAACTATTTTAAGTGATGAAGGAGACAATAGCTCAGAGTATCAGGAATGGGTTTTGGAGGAGGGGCCAGGGGAGTATAGTAGAAGCTACTTTGCTACAGTAGGAACAGAAAGTTTTTATTGTCATGGAGTTCATAAGTTCTTTTTTTTTTAACTTTGCAATCATTTAGTAGTTTCATAAATACCTCAAAAGTCCCCCTGAATTACCACACGAAGTAACAGTTACAAATCAGGCCATTAGTGCAGAGAGTGTGCTGCCATTAGGGTGGGTGCCTCTTCAGGAGCTGACACTGAAAATCTCTGTTGACTTATCCTAATTCAGGTTTATATTCTTTATTACTGTCTTAATCATCAGTCAGAAACCTCATTCACATACAAGCGCCAGGTTAATCACAGGCTATATTTTGTAGCATTTCAGTCTTCTAAGGCTATTTTATGTAGACTGGCAAGAACAGTTGGAAATTGTTTTACACGATGCGATTTTAGGAACACATCTGTAAGAGGCAGAATAATGGACCCTGTAAAGATGTCCATGTCCTACTCCGTAGAACCATTTAATATATTGTTTTACGTGGCAAGGGGGAATTAAGATTACAGATGAAATTCAGGTGAGCTCCATTTAAATATGAAAGAGTCAGACATTTGAAGATGCTCTGCTGCTGGCTTTGGAAATGGAGAAAGGGACTGCAAGCCAAGGAACACAGGCATTTTCTAGGAGCAGTAAAAGACAAGGAAACAGGTTCTCCTCTGCAGCTTCCAGAAGAAACACAGCCCTGCCAACACCTTGAGTCTAGCGCAGAAATACCCGTTCTGGGCCTCTGACCTCCAGAACTATAAGAAAATAATTCATGTTGTTTTAAGTTGCTAAATTTGTGGTGATTTGTTACAGAAGCAATAGTAAACTACAATGTCCAAGTTTTATAATCTTAATTTTAAAACATGTAAGTCTCACTTCTCTGTCAGACTGTAAGTTCCTCCAGACCTGTAATCAGCCTCTGTGCTTAACGCACAGTTTACATAAAAATGTGTATTGGATTTTCCTGTATATCAGATAGCCTCTCCATCATTTGGGGGAGAGTCCTTTCCCATTCTCAAAGTTTCCACTCACCTGGGTGTGTGCCACAGAGAGAAGCACCACCTTTGCAAGCAGTACCTGCAGTTCTGAACGTCTGCCTCAGTGACTCTTGATTAGGAGGGCGTGGCGTGCTTATTCACACCAGAGTTGGTTTTTTTTCTGGCCCAAGTGTTTTCATACATGAGACTTGTGTCTCCTGGTCGACAGTTCCATAGGCTTCTTGTACCTCACTTTCAACTGCTCTATAGTGAGACTGAGTCTGTCTGAGAACCCCACCCTCAATTAAGGTTTGTTTTATGCCTTAGAATCTTATATTTTGATTTATACCATCCCAAATATAGTCTCAAAATTTTGTGAAATATCTATAGAATGTTTTCTTAAAATACAGAAACAGACCTACAGGTAGACTACTTATTTTTATAGATTTGTATTTGTTTCCCTTCCAGTCTTTAGATGAAAGCAGGAAAAGAAAACACTTAGAACGAAGGGAGTTTTAAATGTGTTATACACTGCCCTTTGGGATATAACATGTATCTGTTATCTATTGCTGCTTAGCCTAGCTTAAAACAGATACTTATTATGCCATAACTTCTGTTGGCTAGGAATTCAGAATCAGCTTACTTGGGTGGTTCTGACTCATAGCTTCTGAGGAAGCTGCAGTCATGTTGTGTGTAAGGCTGTGGTCATCTCAAGGCTCGGCTGGTGTAGAATACACTTCCAAGTTCTTTCATATGGTTGTTGGCTGGTCTCAAAAATCTGCTTCTGAGCTCACTTGTGTGGGCCTCTCCCCAGGCTGCCTCACAAAAGGCAGCTGCTTCTCCGAGAGTAAGCCTTCCTGCCAAGAGAACACCCAAGCAGAAGCCGCAGTCTTTTCAAAAACCTAACTTTGGAATTGACACCCCATGACTTCGGCTGTATTCTGTTAGAGGCAAGCCAGGAAGTTGAGCCCATGCTTAAGGGAGGGAGGGGGGCGGGGGAGATTATGCGAGGGCATAAACACTAGTGAATGGAGGTCATTAGGGTCATCTTAGAAGCTGTCTACCACACACATGTATTAGTGAGTTCATTAGTCCACCAGAGACTAGATAATCAAGTTTATAATATTCCTAACTGCAATTAAGTTCAATTATATCAAAACATTTTGTAAAAAATACTACAGATATCAGAAGGTATAAAATAAAAATGGAAGCCTTTTAACTTTCAGATGGGAAAATCCAAGAAGGTACAATCAAGCGATCAACATAAATCACTCTTTTCTCTTACTCCCCTTTCGTTTTCTACTTCTCCCTTCCTCTTCCAATTTTTTTCCTTCACTTTTTAAATTCTACTTATTCATATTCTAAAAATAATCAAATACAACATACAAAGATATGTAAAATACTATGAGAATTGGAACTACTTCCCCACCTGACACTGTACCTAGCTTTTACAATATTATTGACTATATTCCCAATGCTGTACTTTACATCACTGTAGCTATTTTGTAACTACCAATGTGTACCTCTTGATTCCTTCCCCTTTCTCACCCAGCCCCCCAGCTCCCCTGGTAACCATCAGTCTGTTCTCTGTATCTGCCAGCCTGTTTCTATTTTGTTTCAAATCTCAGGGGGAAGTATATGGCTGTGTAACCACTATGCTATACACCTGAAACTAAAACAAAATAATATTGAATGTAAGCTTTCATTGAAAAATAAAATATAAAAAAGAACCGGAATTAAGAGGAGCAAAGGTGAAAGGAAAGATATGTAGAAAACTAAGTTAGAAATAACTGCTGCACAAAGGTCATAGTTTGGTGAACACGAAAGACCTATCAAAAATTTATGGTGGTGTGGCTGAACAAGTAGATGTTAAGAAATTTAAAAAGCAAGTTCAAGACTAGTGAAAAAAATACAAATCATATATCTGATAAAAGTCTTATGTCTAGAGTATACATCCTTAATAAGGCAAACAAACTGGTTTTTTAAAAATATAAAGCAGGCATTTTATCAAAGAAGATAAATGCATGACAAGTAATACAAAATAAAACCCAATGAGATATGATTACAGCATCACTCAAATTGCTAAAATTAAAAAGATTGACAATACCAACTGTCAGCATGAATGTAGCACTCCTAGAATTCTCAGTTCACATGTTTTATAAAATTAAACACACTCTTACCATGTATACACAAAGACCAGTTCATGAATGTTTATAGAAACTATTTGCAATAGCCAAAACCTAGAAACAGTTTTCTGATTTTATTGTGATATATTATCATATACATATAGTACAATAAAAATGTAGGAACTCCTGATAAATGGAACAACACAGATAAATCACAGAGACATTATGCTAAGTGAAAGAAACTAGATACACAAAAATACATAATGTACAATTCCATTACATGTAATTATTAAAAAGGTAAAACTGCAGTGACAGAAAACCTGTCAGTGGTAACTAGGGTTGGAGGGAGGTAATTATCTGCAAAGGGACAAGAGAGAACTTTTGGGGGTCACAGAAATGTTAGAATAGCTTATTATAGACAAGAAAAGTAATAACAAGTGTTGGAGAAGTCGTAGAGGAAAAGGAAGCCTCATTCTGCTTCTGGTGGGAATGGAAACTGTATCGCCACTATCGAAAACGGTGTGGAGTTCCTCAAACACTAAGAATATAGTTACCATATGAGCCAGCATCCCCTCTTCTAGTATCTACCCTAAAATGTTGAAAACTTTTATTCATAAAGATATGTATACCCCAAGTTTACTGCAGCATTACTGAAAGTGGCCAAGATGTGGAAATAACAGAAGTGTCCTTCAATAGACGATTGCATAAAGAAGATGTGGTGCATATATGCAGTGGAATACTACTGAGCCACAAGAAAACATGAAATACTGTCATTTGTGACAACATGGGTAGATCTTGAGAATAGCATGCTGAGCGAAATAAGTCAGATGGAGGCAGCGGAAAGCAATGGGGGGGGCTGGAGAATTGGGACAACTGTAATTGAACAACAATAAAAAAAATAAGTCAGATGGAAAACATCAAGAATCATATGATTTCCCTCATATGTGGGACATAAAGCAACAAATGAATAAACAATACAAACAAAAACTCATAGAGACAACAGTATGGTGGTTACCAGAGAGAGAGGCGGGTGAGGGGCTGTAGTAAAGGGTAAAAGGGAGATTTGACTTTGGGTGGTAAACACACAATGCAATATAGAGGTGATTTATTATAGAATTGTACACTTGAAACCTGCATAATTTTATTATCCATTGTCTCCCCAATACATTTAATTTAAAAATATAAGTCATAAGCCAACATCCTCTATTAGTCCTGACTAGAATTTATGTTGCTGACTGCCCATCGTGGCCTCTACGTGGCAGCAGAATTTGTCAGTCTTCTTTTTGCCACTACCCTTAGTGCAGGCTTATGTTACCAGAGATGTGTTACTTTGTGCTTATCATTTATATTTTACAAGGGGAAAATAAAGGTGTATTTTAATCATTATACATAAGTGAATTGTAGTGAATAAGAAATAGGACAGTTTTGTATTTACGAATAGTAGGTCTCTACAAGATAATTCTATTGTCTATAAATTGTATTCATGACTAGTAGGCTTTTGTGAGGTTATTCTATTCTCCTAAAGTATCTTTTTGTCTCTTTAATAATTACCTCAAAATACCTCTTTGTAGTATTTGCCTACTTAACACTTAAATTCCAACACTTATTCTTATATGAGTATATGTATTTTCAACAGCGATTCTTTTAATGCTCACCGAGAAAGTATGCGACAGATGATGAGAAGTTTTTCTGAGCCTTTCGGAAGAGACTTGCTTAGCATCTCTGATGGTAGAGGAAGAGCTCGCAATCGTACAGGACGTGATGATGGGGAAAATCACTTGACTGTAAGTTTATTTTAATGTTAGTGAGAAGGTTCTGTCGGATTTTGAGGAAAGGTATTATAGAAGAATATATCTGTCATGATAGGATAAGGCTAATACATATGTTATGGAAATAACTATTCTATAAGGTGAAGGACCTGATGGAAAGCTGACTCCTTTCACAATGAAATGTTAGCTGTAGAGTATCTCACTATTACCAAAACTTTTTGGGTAATAGAGTTATATATTATAAGCCAAACTTACAGCATTATTTTTCATATGTGTATATGTGGTTTGCTCTCACCTTAAAATTGCTCCCATGTCTTAAATTAGAACAGGCAAAGAAATATCCTTCCAGTCCCACACAACACTTTTTCTTTCACTTTAAAATAGCAGCCAGAGCTATAACATAATTCTTTATCTTTATTGGACCTGGAAAACCCAATCTTCTTCAAAGTCAATCTAAGTTTTAGACCTTCAAAACTTAGATTAACCTTTAACTGTATCAAAAGTCTTGCATAACTGCAGTGTATTTTCATAAGTCTTGTCTGAGAGCAAAGCTAGAAGGTTACAAGCGTACTCAACACAAAAACAAACCTCAGGATATTTATATATCTTAACTATTTTCTGTTTCTTTTATTTCTATTGCTTTTTCAGTTTCATGAATGGTAGTTCTAGGATAGCAAATCCATAGGAGTTTCTAATAAAGATGAATGTCTGCAGTTTAAGTGTAGATACTTAGAACTCAGTAATCATTAAATTGGTCAATTAGAAAACTTCCAGAATCTTCCATAAAAAACATTTTTATATTTTCTGTTTGCAATCATGTTAAATAGAGCAAAATATTTTAAACACTACTAAGAAGTTCGATGGGTAGAACTACATTTGCCATTTAAATGAAAGTAATCTTCACATTCTTTTTTATATACATATTATTCCAATATATTATTCACATTCTAGTTAGTTTTCTAGAATTAGTGAATAGTGGCATGTGTATATGTGTGTGTGTGTGTGTGTGTGTGTTAACTTTTATCAATTTCCATTAATGTCTAAAAATAAGATCCTAAGAAAAATTATTAAAGAGAGCAAAAAAATCAAATGTGACATTCTGAAATTTTATTTTTCACATGAGCATTGAAATATCTTGTATATCTGCTATAACCATAGCAAATAAAGAGTAGGGCTCTCTTTCTTTGTATTTATGTGCATAAATGAACTACTCATAGCATTTGTGAAAGAAGCAAGAAGTGACCATTTTATCCCCTTGTAAGTATAGAAAGGAGATCTGTTTTTAATTTGGCTGTATAGTTCTTATAGAGGCCACCTATCCACATCACCTGTAATCTTTCTGGTCATCATCCTGTGGAGGCAGAACTAAACTAACTTTCCTGGGTACTTGTGCTTAAAACAAAAATAGAAATTGACTGCAGAAGATGGAAGACAGTACCGCTAAGTTTGAAAAAAGCACAGCCAAGATATCAAGAGGCTTTTTGAGCATGCTAGTTATCCTGGATTTTATGACCCATTGTTTTAAAGATTTTATTTATTTAAATTTTACAGAAAGAGGAAGGGAGGGAGAAAGAGAGAAATAGAAACTTTTAGGGGGAGAGAGAGACATCGATTGGTTACCTCTCATACACACCCTGACCAGGACTGAACACGCAACCCAGGCATGTGCCCTGACAGGGAATTGAACTGGCCGCCTTTCACTTTGTGGAATGATGCCCAATGAATTTAGTCACATGGGTCAGGATGGTCTATTTGAACTTTCAATAAAAATTTACACAAAGCTTTTCTCTCTCTTCAGGAAGTTATGTTTTAAAATTAGAGTGTTTGGGGGAAGCAGTAAGCCATTATGCTGATACTTTTAAGTATAGTAGATGAAAATCTATATATAAGTATAGTAGATGAAAATCTATATATAGATGAAAAAGGATCAAGACACCTTGACCCTTTTAAAAAAAAATTTGGGCCCATGTCTTGACATTTGTCATCTTTAACAGCCATATTATGAGGGAAAACCGAGACTCCTACAGAAGTAGGAGAAGCATCAGCTATGCAATTTTCTTGTGTTTGTCAAACTAGCATTTTTTTTTTCATTCATGATTACTTTATGGGACTAGTTTTAAGCCAGTTGTCCATTTGGGGAGGGTTAATCTTGTTTAAAACTAGATAATTTAATCTTTAAATTTATTTATTTTTAATTATGTTATTGATTATGCTATTACAGTTATCCCAATTTTTACCCTCTTACCCCCTTTCCCCCTTGACTGAGCACCCCCCCACTGGCTCAGGCAACCCCACACAATTGTTCATGTCCATGGGTCATGCATATAAGTTCTTTGGCTACTCCATTGTCTATACTGCCCTTTACATCCATACGGCTATTCTGTAACTACCCATTTGTATTTCTTAATCCCCTCACTTCTTTGCCCATTTTCCCATACCCCCTTCCTACCTCACAACCATCAGAACACTCTCTGTGTCCATGATTCTGTCTCTGTTCTTCTTGCTTGCTTGCTTGCTTGCTTTGGTTTTTTTTTTTTTTTTTAGACTCAATTGTTGATAGATATGTATTTTTTTGGCCACTTTATTGGTCATAGTTTTGATCTTAAATACTTCCCTTTGACATTTCATATAATAATGGTTTGGTGATGATGAACTCCTTTAGTTTTTTCTTGTCTGGCAGGCTCTTTATCTCCCCTTCAGTTCTAGACTTGATCTTAGCCAAAAGCCCGAGAAGCAGTCTGCCCTTAAATTCTAAATGATAGCTTTGCAGGATAGAGCAATCTTGGCTGTAGGTTGCTGGTTTTCATGACTTTGAATATCTCTTGCCAATCCCTTCTACTCTGCAAAGTTTCTTTTGAGAAATCAGCTGACAGTCCTATGGGATCTCCCCTGTAGGTAACTGTTTTTCTCTTGCTGCTTTTAAGATTCTTTAATTTCAACCTCCTGCATTTTAATTATGCTGTGTCTTGGAGTGGGCCTCTTTGCATTCATCTTCTTTGGGACTCCCTGTATTTCCTAGACTTGCAATGTCTATTTCCTTCACCAAATTAAGGAGGTTTTCTTCGATTATTCTCTGAAATAGAGTTCCGATTTCTTGCTCTTGCTCTTCTCCTTCTGGCACCCCGTTGAGGCGAATATTAGACCTTTTGAAGTTGTCCCAGAGCTGCTTATACTATCCTCATTTTTTTCTGGATTCTTTTTTCTTCTTCTTGTTCTGATTGGTTGTTTTTTTATTCCTTATGTCCCAAATCATTGATTTGATACCTGGCATTATTCATTCCACTGTTGTTTCCCTGTAAATTGTTCTTTATTTTAATCAGTGTATCTTTCATTTCTGACTGAATCTTTTTTATGCTGTTGAGGTCCTCACTAAGTTCCTTGAGCATCCTTATCCCAGTGTTTTGAACTCTGTATCTGATAGGTTGCTGATCTCCATTTAATTTAGGTCCTTTCCTGGAGTTTTGATCTGTTCTTTCATTTGGGCCAGGTTTCTTTGTCTCCTCATTTTGGCAACCTCCCTATGTTTGTTTCTGTGTATTAGATAGAGCTGCTATGACTCCCTATCTTGGTATTGTGGCCTAATGTAGTTGTCTTCCTGTAGGGTCCATTGGCACAGCCTCCCATATCACCCCAACCTCAGTACTCATTGTATCTATTGTCGTTGACCGTTGGCTGCTGTTGTCAGGTAAATGGGAGAGATTTACCCAGGCCAGTCAGTTACAAAGATTAACTGTGACCACTGACCACCAACCTCCAGTCTTTGTGGAAGGTCAGCTATGTAGGGGCAAGGCCGTGATACTCTGACATGGTGTGTAGCTGTCCACTAGATGCACAGCCCTTGGGTTTTCCCCAGGTGGTGCAGGTCAAGGTCAGCCTCCACCTGTGGTTTTCTGGAGCCACACTGCCTGAGCTTTAGAACACTCTGAGATGGCAATTACTTGTGCTGGGCTTGGAGATTCCCAGGCAAAGCCAAGCTGTGAATCTAGGCTGGCTCTACTAGTGCCGTGTCTGGGGCCACTTAGTAAAAGGTATGGGGGCTGCTGTATCACTGAGGCCTCGCTGAGGCCAGCTGTTGCTTGTTTGAAAGGATATAGGAAGTTGTGAAGCTTGAGCCAAGACCACCCGTTCATATGAAAAACTACTGTTAATAGCCCTAAGCTGGGTGGGATGGATCCTCCAGGGATTCCCATGGCTGGGCAAACAGTGTTAGCCAGATTGATGGAGTCTCAGATATGGCAGCTACCTCTTGCTCTGTGGCTCTGCCTGCCAGAGAAACCTGTTAGAGAAACCTGTTCCCCAGGTCTTGCCTTGATACCAGCCACTCCTGTTCCTTTCTCTGTGCCACTAGTGCCTTTCAAGCTGCTACCCCAGTGCTGAAGCTCAGAGGGAGTGAGTCTGATTAAGTTCGTATATGGGTACTTTAAGAGGTACTGCTTGGGACCCCAGAAGTTTCTTCCACCAACTCAATCCCTGCTGGTTTTTGCAGCCAGAAGTTACGGGGACTTATCTTCCTGGAGCTGGAACCCTGGGCTGGGGGGCCTGGTGTGGATCTGGGATTCCCCACTCCTGAGATATCTCTCCCGAATTTTTATCCACCACACATGTATGTGGGACCAGCCTGTTCCGCATCTGCACCCTTCCTACCACTCTGGATAGATGTGGTTTCTTCAATTCCATAGTTGTCAGACTTCCATTCAATTTGATTTCTGCCAGTTCTGAGTGATGGTTATTCTATAATCCAGTTATAATTTTGATGTGGTTGTGCAAGGAGGTGAGCTGTTTAACTATGACACCATCTTGACTGGAAGTTTTTAAAATTTATTTAATCAGGCAATTTGTAATTGAAGATGTGATGTGTGAACATCTAACATTTAGATTGAGTGATGGTGCCAGAGTCAATAAAAAGAAATAAAAAGACGAATTTTACTGGTGCATCCACGACAGTTTGGAATTTACTGTTGTAGATAAGCAACATAAGTGTAAATCATTTGATATATAAGTTTTTATTTAAACACAGTTTTCTCTATTTTTCAATATAAGTTACACAAGAAGAAAATTATCACTGACTATATATAGCTTTTACGCAGAAATTCAAAATTTATTTTCAACACTTGAAACTCTCAAGTAATGAAAGCTTTTAATTTGTATACATGTATTTAAAATTTTATTTTTATTCATCTATACCTATTGAGGAATATAATTTTTGAACTATTATTTTTGATTATCCCATCTATTGTACTTAACATTCTTTTGCCTATCAAAGAACTTAAATATTTTTAAATCCATGTGTGTGAATCTCTCTGGTTTGTATTTTTTACTTCACAAATTAGTTCTTAGGAGGTATTTATTAAATTTTTTTGTCTAATATCTCTACTAATCTTTTAAAATGTTATTAATGTAGATAAATTTTTATTTTTAATCAGTTGTAGACAAGATTAACTGACCTTTTAAAAATATGAAATAGCTAAGCAAAGATGATATAATCTTAATCATTGTACATTATGTTTTAATTAATATTGGTGTGAACTTGCTTCTCCTTTGAAAAATGTATGTTTTAATCTTTAGCAAATACTTTTTCAACTGCCTTTAATAAATATTAGACTAGTCATATTTAAAAGTAACATGTGGCCTCCCCTATTTGGCCGCCAGGTTCCTATGAGGCTGTTCGATGAATTATGAGCAGAGAATTGAAAAAATATATGTTGAGTTCTGTTTGATTAAGAGGTTCTGTAATTTTATTAGCATTGAACTATATGTAGTGCAGTTCTTTCTTTTTTAAAGGATTATTATATAATAAATATTATAACCAAAATTAATTGGATTTTTTTCCTAGGCAATGAGTTCTCTTGTGCCTTTTGGCAGTTTTGGTGGTATGGTTAGTATCATTAGACACAAACAATTGTAGCAATATTTCTAAGAGATATTTATTTTTCATTAATTCAGGAAAATTTAATTGGCATGCAATTTCACTTTTATAATGGCTTTTTAGTTATTTGTACTGGAAACTTGATTCATGTATTAAATTTATTTTAGAGTGTTTCAGCATGTGTTTTCTAAAGTAAGTCCTATTAACCTATATAAAATCAGTTTTCAAAAATAAAAAGTACGTTTTAATAGATGGATGAACATTCACTTGATTTACAAAAGGGATTGAAAGTTGGAGACATGCTTATAGTGACTTTCCAAAGGGAGAAAAAATAGCAGACTGTAGATAGACAGGCACATTTGGAGAAGCTCAGATCGTCTGCTTTCTGTTGGCAATTTGTTTGTGCTACTTTTTCTTTCCCATGTCCAGATATGCCCGTTCTGCAACCAGCTTTTCTTCCACCTGTTTCTTTGGGCTCGGGTCCTATTTTCTGTGATGCTCGTTTCTAAAACACTTAAAGGCGATCTGAGGAATAGCAGAGAATAACATGGCTTTGAAACATTTCTTATGGATGCATCTACACTCTCATGAAAAAAAATTTTTTTAGTTCTCTCATGCCAGATTTCAATCATTTGTCTCCTTAAAGTTTGACCTATAACATTTGTCCTTTCTGACCTAAGTTTTTAGTGGATCAAATGACAAAGAAAAGAAGCAATTGTAGCACACTTATCAGTAAAATGATAGGAAGCTCAACAGGCTGTCAGAGCACAGATGGAAAACAGCTTTGTAACCCTTTGGCTATAAAGGAGTGAGATGTTTAGCAGGATTCCTGGCGTGTGCCCTACACGCCAGTCATTCACTCTTGTCCACTGTGACACCCAAACTGAGCATGTCCCTGAGTAATGCCCCTGGAGTCACAATCTCTCTTGGTTGAGAAACCACTGTTCTAGGGAAATTCTTAGCTTTTCTCCTAAAGGAGTTATGTCATGCTTCAGCAGTATGCACTACTGAGCCTCCGATGGTAGGCAGCAAATTCAAGGTCTGTTAGCAGAGTGAGTTAACTTCTATTACGTGGACCCTACTATGATGTAAAGGAAGCTGACTCAGCTTCTATCAGCCATGTGGTGCTGGAGGAGGTGACACTGGTATCTTAGGCCCAAGTTTTATGTGGTGAGGTACTGAGAGGGAAGAAGCAAAGATTTGAAGACGAGTCTGTGATGGAGCTACCCCAATCCAGAACACATCACTCTGTGTTTAAATATTAACTATATTATGTTTTGAGCAGATTGACAAATGATATGTATGTGTATATTTATAAGTTCTTGCATGTACAGGGTGGGGCAAGAGTAGGTTTTCAGTTCTTATGGAAAATAATGCAATAATTAATAAATAATAATAAAGGAATAAACGCTGTTTTGATACAAGTGTGTGTGTGTGTGTGCACATACACACATATGTATGTATGCTTGTATTTATGGTGTTATGGCTACGTGATCATTTATATATTGGCTGTTTGGGATTTTGAATATCCTTTAATTTTTTCTTTAACGAATCATTTTCATTGTGTAGTCCTTAAATTATCTTTGTTTGGTTGATTACTGCATGAAATCCTACTTCATAAATTGAGAAAAAAATTTGGCAAGGTTGATTTGTTTCTTTTGTGTTATACTTATAGTTAACAACATACTTCTTAATATCCTGTAGCGTACAGATGTCAACCCTTTTCAGGCAATGGACCGAATGATGTTAAATATGCGTAACAGTATGCAAGAATTACAAAGAAACTTTGTAAGTACTAGAAAAATTGGTGAGAACATTGTTTTCAGTTACTGGTACCTGACATTAGAGTGGCTTACAAACTCTTTTTAACCAAAGTACACAGTGATTGAAAAACACATCTTATATCATGATCCAGTACACAATACCTGTATACTATATAATGTATAATATACCTGAAAAAAAGTTTCATGAGAAAATGATCATACTGTTTACAATATGTACTGGTATTTTCTATTTTATTTCGTATTTTTAAAATCCTGGTCACAACGCACAATATTGATTTTGCAGCCTACAAGTTTGAAAAAAATAGCACTAATTAACTTTCAAAATGAAAACAATTCAACCTCAAAAAAATTTGTTCTGCTGAAGGTCACTATTGTAAATGAACACTTTAAATGAATTTAGATTTTTAAAAATTATTTTATAACTTGTCTATTTAAAAGGAATTATGTCATCTAAGACATTAAGTTTTGATGTTTTAAAAAAAATATGACAATAGAAATTTCAGGAATGATGTTTAGATATTGGATTAGGTTCATACGGTCCAAATACTTACAAACTAGTACTAATAGTCTTACTTTTCTACTCATAATATTAACATCAAAACAGTGACTTGAGTTGGTATGAAGAAGGCCCATATTGTTTTAGTCATCCAATCTGAAATCTAAGGATCATTTCAGAATGATTTTAGCAATGTACCAAACTGGTACCCATATGAGGTATAAAAGTCTTGGTATATGGTTAACTGACTGATTGGCTCAATGTTGGCAAATTAGCACACAAGCATCAACCATTAACTCAAAGTATCACAGCATCTACAATATATTTAAATCTAAGCCGAAAGTCTTTGATCCCAAAGATTTTAAGGATCTTTGAGTAAACTGCTTATCATTCCTCACAAGGACATTGGGAATTGGTGGCTAAAATGGAAGGAAGTCAGGGCCTTCCCTAGGGCGCCATTTGGATACTCCAGCTGACAGCGCACTGTCCTTAGTGGAACTTTTGCTTAGTTTTGCTACTAACTTGAGTTTTCTGACACTCATTCTTCATATTTGACTAAACTCTCTGGATTTACAATTTATATTTCTAGGATCACCTTTCAATGGATCCAAATGGACATTCGTTTACTTCTTCCTCAGTTATGACTTATTCCAAAGTAGGAGATGAACCGCCAAAGGTTTTCCAGGCCTCAACTCAAACCCGTCGGGCTCCAGGAGGAGTAAGTATTTTCTTAGCATTCTGAGAGCTTTATAAAATTGTCGGATGATAGATCACCTGTGCCAAATGATAATTATTAAAATTTGACCTGGCACTGTGGGGGTGTGGAGGGGAGAAGACCCATGTTACTGGGAAAAACAATAAGGCATTTCTTGTTTCCCCCACCTCGCTTTTTTTTTCATTGATGTTTTATTGATGTTTATTACCTTTGCATGTTGACAGTTACATAAACACTGAAAGAAGTCTTTGTCTCATGAAAAAAATGTCTACTTTTAAGTTATTATATTTAAAGTAAATAAATGTTTTTAACTCGTGAAATATTTCTAGTGGACAGAAAGGATAGGAAGAATAGTGTAAATACCCATATCCCTTTCACCCAGTTTAGTCAGATCACAACATTTTTCTCTATTGGCTTTAAATGGTCTCTTATTTTCTTTTCTATTTAAGCAGAAACCTTTGTAGATGCAGTTAAAGCTTCCAGTGCACTCCCCCTCCTAGTCCCTTTTCCTTTCCTCCCTCCCCCAAAGAGAACCATTTTCCTTACCTGGAATTTATCATTCTTATGCATGCTTTTACAATTTTATCACTTACGTATGCTTCATAAACAATATAAGGAATTAGCTTTAGGTTTCTCAACTTTACATAAGTGGTTTTGCATTACATGTGTCCTCTGCTACTTGACTTTACTCAGTAATATGCTTCTGAGGTTTATTCAAGTAGATATGTGAGTAACTCTGGTTTCTTTATTTTACCTTCTTAATAGTATCCAAAATATGAATATAACGCAGTTTTAAAGTCTATTTTTCTACTAATAAACAATTAGGTATTTCTAATTTTTCATTTATTCATATTTAAACGGCTCTTTGTACCAAGGGTCTATGGATGGTATTGTTGGTTTGTAGGAGATTTGTGTCATTTTCATTAGAAATTACTAAGTTACTATCACACAGTGATTGAAACAGCTTCCACACACTCTGATAGGAGAGTTCCCATTTCTCCATTTCTTTGTTAGTACTTAAAATAAAAAAAATAGGTTTGCCTTTCTAATGAGTGTGAGTGGTTCACTTTTTAGTTCTTACATATAAGGCATACCTTTTAATGATGCTTTTGCAAAAGTACAGCTAATTCTTCAGATGTCATTTTACCTTGCTGTAAGTGACGTGCATCTTACATATAAACAGAATATACATGGGATGTCCCACAGCAAACCGTGTTAGTAGTTTTGGGCTATCATAAATATTCTAATAACCCATAGAGTTCATAGGTGGGAGTCATGAGATTCAATTCCATCAAACATGACTTCTGAGTGATTATTTGCTCTTAGTTGTAGGAATGCTAGCATATATTCCCCTCTATTACAACATTTTCAAGGGTAGCATTGAAAGCACTAAGTTTTATATAATTGTTATTCTTTGTTTTAATGTTTGATTACAATTTTGAAACAGGTTAAATTATATTGGTTCTATTTGTCCTAGACATTTTAATTTCAAGCAGTTCAGGATATGTCAGAGAACCAATACCATAATTTTACTGCAAGTTAGTAGTGGAACTGAGTATTCATTATTTTCAGACCAGTCGAGTGACTGTTTATTTTTACTAGAGGGCCTTATCCCTATTGTAAACTCAGGGAGTTTAGAATTATATTCATTCTATATATATTTAAATAGTAGCTAATTTTTATTTATATATTTTTATTTTTTACAGATAAAGGAAACTAGGAAAGCGTTGAGAGATTCTGACAGTGGACTAGAAAAAATGTCCATTGGCCATCATCTCCATGACCGGGCTCATGTCATTAAAAAATCGAAGAACAGCAAGACTGGAGACGAAGAGGTCAACCAGGAGTTCATCAACATGAACGAAAGTGAGTTACCCCAGAGGAGAGCGTTCTTCCTCCGAGAGCCAAAATTGCACCCGTACTGGTGGAACTTAAATGTTTTTGTAGAAACATTTCATAAGATGTCATTTGGAGGTAGTGTGTGAATGTTTAGGAAATACTTTATCAAAGTAATAAATTGTAGTTTCATAATTTCACAGTAGATCTGTTCTTTACAGTGATTATTGGTACTACTGAGTATCATTGATTTTTTTTGTTTTCTATTTGGGAAATGGAATATTTTGAATTGTTATTTAGTAAGATTCAGTGGGCAAAATGAGTTTTAAATATTTATGATTTTCAAAGAAGTGCATTTGAAAAGTATAAAAAAGCATAAAGAAGAAAATTAAAATCTGTAATCTCAATTACTAGGAATATTTTAATGTGTTTCTTATTAATAATTTGATGTATAAATAAACATACATACTTTTTTCAGTTAATACTTTACTATCTATATAATATATATTGTGCTTATTTTAATTCTCCATTATAATTGTGAACAACCATCTATGATGTTTTTTAAAAACATTCTAAATGGTTACCTAAAGGTTTTATCATAAATAGACCACAATTTATTTAAAACATTCTATATTGTTGGATATTTTGGCTTTTATATAGATAAGATTTTAATATCTGGTATTGTTAGAAATATATATTATATAATATACAATATATCATATATGTATCAAGTAAATCATTTCATTGTTTAAATTTTATATTCATTTTTTAATGAATTCAAGTCTTTCCCGTCTCCTAACTCTCCTCATTGGAGTTTTAAGTTACATTTATCTTCTATTTTCAGAAAACATTCTGAATAAATATAAAAAAAGCAGAAGGCTTTTGATGACAAGTTTGAATTGTTGTATAATTTTAGAAAAAGAATTTCTCTTAAGGTTGGAGTTGGATAAACTTATTCTTATGCAATGAGGTGGAAGTCACAACATCTTAACCTTTCTTTAATTTTAACCTTTATAATTTTGTCGTATTGAAATTTTAAATATTTACATTGTCATTTGAAATATTTACAGAATACTTGACAATAATTAACATGTTGAAAAAAATTTAGTGAAGGAATACAATAGTATAAAGGCAATCTGAAAGAATTTGTGTTGTCATTTACCTATTGTTGTTATTATAGAAGTTAAATGACCTACTTCACAACAACATAAATTGACAGTTGAGATGAATAATCTGCCTTAGGAAACTGACAACAGAAGCTTGTGAGGCCAAGTGACATAGGAAAATGGTGAGGTTAATAGGAGGTGCTCGTCGTAGGCGACACGTTTAACTGCAGAGAAAAAGGATGATCACTGTGGAGAACCCAGTAAGGAAGACTGTAAGGCAGCGTAATTGGGCCAAAGGGTCCACTGGGTAGAATAATAGGACATCCAGGAAGGTACGTGAAAAACCAGATCATCAACAAAATTATCAATAAGAATAGGAGAGGAACAAACAGAAGAGGCAATATTACCCCGAGTCAGAGACCTTTATATTTGAAGCAGTTTCCTGCCTCTGCCTTCAGGTAGGCTGGTGGGAACATCAGGGTAGAACGAAGTGTGCGGGGAGCAAGGCATTTACTGACAGTTGATACCTTTGTTTTCAATATTTAATGCAGGTGATGCTCATGCTTTTGATGACGAGTGGCAAAATGAGGTTTTAAAGTACAAACCGGGGGCACAGTGGCGCAATCTAGAAAACACCAGGATGAGGAGTGTTGGGCATGAGAATTCAGGATCCCGAGAACTTAAAAAAAGGTAAAAGTTATTTTTAAAATGAATTGTGTTGTTTTAAGAAGACTTAGGAAAAAGGTTACGTGATTGTACCTCTGTTGTCAAGAAGTTCTCAGTATCCTAGCTGTTGTCCATATCTTTTGTGAAAGATGTAGTTTTACATTATATCTGAGTATACCACACAAATTTAATTTTATACCTAAAACCAATAATATTTCATGATTCCATGATTAGTAACTCACTAACAAATTATCCTTCAGAAGATAGGGGCTAAATTCTCCTAAGGAGCAGTGGCATGCTATAATGTAGTTATTCTTGTGAAACAGATTCTAATGTGGATATGTAGTAGGTAGAAGTCACATCTCATGTCAGGTAAAGATGCTGGTATCTAGAGAGATGATAAAGGACTGTATTTGAAAGGCTTAACACAACTTTCCTCCTAAGTCAAAAATCAGTATTTAATAGTAAATGCATTTTCAGACACTTGTTTAATCGTCCTATGAAATTACCTTTGGAATAGCTATGAAGTATAAATGTTCAGTATATAAATGTTTGGCATTTAGTGTATTTTCTAGAGGTGTAATTTAATTTGGTTCTCTGGGGGGCGGTGTGGAATGGAGAACAATGCATAATTCCTATTGAAATTACGAGAGAGAGAGAGAGAGAGAGAGAAATCCGTTCAAGGTGTACAAGTGGGTGTCTGCTGCAGAAGGCGGAAGCCTTCAAAGAACCAGTGGTAGACAAGGGGGTATTAAGTAAACCAGAAAATTTGTGTGGAATTTTATGTGCTAGCATCTTTTATTTTAAAATACTTGTTTAGGAGTTTAGAGCCCTAATACTTTCTATAGAAAATCTGCTCCCATATTAATTTTAGATAATATTTGTCTCACTTTGAAAAGTTTATTGATTAAAACCTAACAGTAGTAAGATTGACTGTGAAATCCAGGTGCCAGTGAAAGAAAGCATGTTTTTTACAACTGACCTATAAATCTATGGTCCTCCCAGGGGCGTTTGCTGTAAACTAGTACCGCGTGATAGAACTTTGTGAAATGATGTTCTGTAATGATGGAAATGTTATATATCTGTATTGCCCCAAAATGTAGTTACATGTAGCTATCGAATCATGCTTAAAATGTGGCCAGTGAAACTGAGAAACTGAGTTTTAAGTTTTTATTTTAATTAATTTAAGTATAAATAATATGGCTACCATGTTGGGCAGCGTGGTTAAACCATAAATAGTGGAATCTGCCTCAGGAAAGCAGCTGCTGCTTTCTTAAATGTTAAGTGAAATAACCTGCCATGTTTTCTCAAAGCTATTAAGGAACTGTTAAGATAAATCTTTGCTTAAATTACAGTGGTTTTAAACATGTTTGCATTGATTTGTAAACCATTGACCATTTAAAAATTGGTATTAATATGTCCATCTGTACATTTCTCAGGGAGAAACCTCATCAAAGTCCAGCCATTGAACATGGAAGAAGATCAAGTGCTTTTGTGGACAAACTCAACATCAAAGGATCGCCTGTGAAAATCAACAAAAAATAAATAGCCTTGCATTCGATGTGTTTAGTTTGGATTGTTTTAACAGAGAAAAGAATGGTGCTGGGTAATACACATAAGACCAATCTCTTGTGAAATCAATACTGTACTTCACAACTCTCTTCTGTTATCTCAATGTAATGGAAATGCTAGCTTTATATTGTCCCTACTTGAGGAATAAAACTTTGATTTTCAACAACATGATAATGTTGTTAAACATTCTGTGAAACTCTTTACTTTAAAACATATTAATTTTTAAAGTTCACATGCTTGATTTTGCTTTCCCAGCGGTTTTCCCATTGGCTAGGCATTCTTTTCTACAATATTAACTGTGGAGCTAGTTCTATATTAGTTATAAGAATGTGAAATTGTTAAAAATGGTCTCAATTTTCACTAACACTACACTAGAATCATGTTAATAAAGATTAAAATTATTTAACTCAAATTTTATAACATGTAATGTAGCCAGCTAGCTTGAAGATTTTTTAAAAAAATAAAGCAAAACTGTACTAGTACTGTCTGTGAGAAGTTAGTTATTATTTTGATAAAAAGAACAGACAAATTGTTTTTAAAGAAATACTTTCAATTGCTAATGTACATGAATTTTCTTCTTACAGTTTCTTTATATAGTATTTTTTGTTGTTCTTAACATTTATTAGACTTTACATTGACCTTCTGTGCAACTTCTCAAGGTAGCATCTTTCTACTCTCCTTTCTTACAAACAGCTTAATCTGTCTCCACGGCTAACATTCTAAAGTTGGAAGTGTCCTTGGAGAAACTCTGCTCAGCCTTTTTGTGACATTTAGAAAAATGCATTTGGTATTCTGCAAACCTGAATGATTGATTGTCTCAGAATTTCTTAGACAGGTGATGAGTGTGTTTGAGCAAGGTATTTAATAATTCAATTGTTCCCTTTTTAATTATACCATTTAAAAATTCAGCTCTAGCATTTTTATTCTAGAATTCAAGCATTAACTTGTTTTTATAAAAGTTAGGTTTGAACTGTATTAGAATATAAAACCTTATCCCTTAATGTTTTTGTTGTTTCAAGGGGAAAAATAGAAAATCCACTATTGCTCTATAATCCCAATATCACCCCTTTTTTTTTTCTTTTTGCTTTGGAAGTAGATTTATGTGATTGTGCTTATACTCTTCTGGTTTTCTAATATCTCCTGTTAATTTTACTAGCCATTTTTCATGCCTTTATGAAACAATGTCACCAAGATAAGTCACTAAGACGCATGTGTATCAATTAATTTTTATACCCAAAAGTACTCAAGAATTAAAGATGTTAAAAATTTTTCTTTTTTACATACTTTAGTGTACATAACATACTATAATATATTGGGTGGTTGTCATAAGGCATAAATTGTAAAGAACACTTTTGTATAAATTCATTTGATAGGAGCAAAACCTCAAGAGTAGACAATGTAGTTATTCTCCTTTGGCCTAAATCATTATACTCATGATAACTGTAATCATTATATTCAAATATGAAAACACTGTAATAAATAATTGTACTTAAAACAGTATAACTTCTGTGCATGATATAGCAGTTTGAGAATTCACAGGCACATCTTTATGTTCACATGGTGCCGAAATTGTCTTTTCAGACAACCAGTATCAAAAGGAAGGCTCTGTGTAGCTTGCTACTCACATATTGTATTATTTTTCCTTAATGGGCAACAGTGATCTTTCTGGAACTCTGGGTCTTTTGGGAATGCAAGGATATTAACAATTTTGTGAATGTGGCCTCGATAATAAGGCCAAGTGGCATACTTAGGCTCCTTGCCATGCGATTTTCCTGGGGCTGGCAGTCCCAGTGGTAAGTTTTTGTTACTTTTATGACTCCATTGCCCTTTACTGTCAGAGGGCAATTCCAGGAGCACATTGGAATCCGATGGTGCCATGCATATGGCAGTGTGATGGTATTTAGAGGTGGGGCCACTGGGAGATGATTATGCCATGAGGGTGGGGCCCCCATGAATGGGATTAGTGACTTTATAAAAGAGACCCTGAGAGCTCCCTTGCTTTCTCCCATGTGAACATAGAGTGAAACTTACTGCCTTTGAACCAGGAAGTATTTTCTCACCAAACATCAAATCTCCTGGCCTTGCTCTCGAACTTCCCAGTTCCCAGAACTATGTGAAATTTCTATTGTTTATAAGCCACCCAAGCTATGGTATTTTTGTTACAGCAGCCTGAATGAAGTAAGACTGTCGTCTTAGGTGATCAGGCTAGGACAGTTTGGAGATTCTGCTGAGGCTTGACCCAGACTGCAATGAATAGGATCTTCAATTTGGTAATAACGTACATATCTGATACCCCTGAAGGCCCCTTTGTCCCTGATTATATGGGTTTCCCGTCATCTGCATTCTAATTATCTCTTTGGTCCCAATGTCACACTGGGGTTTAGGGGTTCTGATCAGATTTGGTGTCCTCTGGTGAATTTTGCTTTAAACACCATCTCCTATTTTCTGTCTGTTTTCCCACCATCTCATGTTATTTGTCCATGAAAACTTACCTCAGTCTTGCCTTTGCATAAGAAGTTTGCTTTGGGAGAATCTTTCTGTCCACCCATGTTGCTTTCTAACCACATGTTTCTCTGGTCAGTAATCAGCCTGCACAGATGTAGCAATGCCTTAAATTTGGTAGAACATCAGGCAATTTTCCATGGGTTTGTCAGTTAATAGGTTTGTATTACCTCTGGCATAACTTAAGCAAGGAATTGTAGTGACTACATTAGCGAACTGTGATGCGTTGAAGACTTTTACTTGAGAGGCACATTAGAAGACAGCACCAAAAAACACAAGCAACGCCTTTGTGTCATTTATCTAAAGAGAACACTTTGTTTATGTTGAAGCCTCCTATCTTTTATTTTCATACTTCAGGGCTTTCTAACTATACAGCTTATATTTAAACTCTCTTCTTGAAGAGGGAAGGTAATTAAACTTTTACATGAATACTTTCATATTTGTATTATTAATTAAACAAAGAGACCATTAGATTGAGGTGGCTTTAATGTCTTAGCAGCCTCTATGAGCAAAATCTAAGCCTGGAATGTCTCAAAGTGAAGAAATTGAAACTCAAAGACACCCAATCACAAAGATCCAAATAGGCTTTCCCAAATAAGGCAACGGCTTAAGCTACAGCCAGTCAAAGACTTTCCTTGCTTTGCTTCTGCCTCCTTATGAGACTTTTATAAGAAAGACTTCTGTCTTTCTCCAGCTGCTCTTGGTGGGGAGTTGCTAATCACTTCCAGGTTGATGCTGCCCGTTGCAATCAATTTTGCTCAAACAAAAATATGCCTCAGTTTATCTTTTAACTATGTAAAGCTGGCTCTAGCTAAATTTTAGCTGAATTTAATTTTTTAGATCCTCAGTTACCTTTTTAAAACCTTAGAAATGTTAAATTAACCCTTAGATACTTAGACAATTTCTATGTAAAAGTGATACAAATCTTTGGTTACTAAAGATAGTTTCAATTTTTTATTTTTATATGTTATAAAATGACTATGAATTAACACAATGTGCAAATAGGTGGTGATATTATGTATTTATAGTTTATCCTTTTATAACTTAAAAGAGAATCTATAATGTGTATTCATAAAAATTGAACTAAACAGTGCTTCATTTTCTGTCTCAGTTTTTTATGTAGAGAAAACAAAAGTGGATTACCTCAGTTAAAAGTGGTATTAATAAAAATAATTCAGAATATACTTGGTATAATAATTACAGAAAAACAATGAGTATGAATTTTTACTGAAGGAAACTTTGTTAAAGTGGTAATTTCAGAGCAATCGGTATACTTATTTAATATAATTAAGTGGTATACCATTTACATAATTATGTAATTTATATATTTTAGATACATACATATAAAGGCTAATAAAGACTAACTTTTTAAAAGTATAAATGAAAAATTTTATTTAAAGTTATAGTCAATGTTAATGAATTTATCCAAGCAGCTTATAAACCCTTTACTTCAAATTAATACATGGTTGATATGCAAAAAGTACATTCAAAATTCATCATTGAGACTTTGATTTTCTTCTTCTCCCTTGTAATTTGCTCTGATTTCTATTCGTTTGGCCTCATTCATTCATTCATTTAACAAATATTTATTGAGCACCTTGCACATGCAACGGATAGAGCAATGAACAAACCCAAATCACTGATCTTAGGGAACTGACATTCTCATTGGTTGTCAGACAATAATCAGGTATCTAACTATGTGGATATATCTAAAAAATGCTCTGCAGGAAATGAAGTAGCATGAGAAGACGGAGAAACTTGCTGTTTTAGAAGAGTTGGTCAGGGAACATCCCACTCTAGAGGTAATTTGAACAGAGAGAAGAACGTAAGTGAAAGAGGCATGCCGATATCTGGGACAGAGCAAGGACTCTGGTCCTGTGAAGATAAGCAAAGAGGCCCTTGTGGCTGGAGCAAAACTGCAAGGGAAGCCGAGCTACATTGTCTTAGCTGCTCAAGCAGAGCCCTGCGGTGAGGTGCTTACTCTGACTGGAGGGGGAAGTCATAACACATTTTTAAAAAATCAGTTATGAAAAATTTCAAGCCTACACAAAAGTAGAGATAACGGCAACAATGTCTTCACTGGATGGAGTGTTGACATGAAATGACATCATCTGGCTTCAAGGGATCCTTTAAATACTGTGTGGATAATTGAAAGAACAGCAAGGACTATTACAGTAATTCTGTCGAGGCAGCAGTGCTTGAGAGGTGGGGAGAAGGAGCAGGTTCTGGATCTGTTTTTGAAGGTAGTGCCTATATCGATTGCTGACTGATTAGGAGTGTCAAAGTAACTAACTTTTGGTATGAGTTATCAACGTTGTTCCCATTTATGCAATGAAGACTGCAGAAGGGTTTGGGAGGAAGATCAGAAGTTCCCCGTTTTGGACATACTAGGTTTGAGATGCCGCTAAGAGACTCAAGTGGAATCATTAAGAGTACTGTCTTCCTTGGACTGGGTATATAGCGTTTAACATCAAACAATGACGGAACATACTGTAACGAGAAAACGCACAAATAATTGATAGTTCGTTATTTTCCCACGTTCTCTTCAGGTCATTTCCTACAGAGAATTTTTGAAAAATATTTGTAATAGCATAGATAACAATTTTGCATTTTTTCACTTAAATTCTGTTTAATTTAATTAATTTCTCCACATTGCTATAGCGGCAAAACATTCAGGTTTAAACGCTGCATTTTTCTGGGAGTTTGCAAAAGCCCGATTTCGATTTATGTCGCAAAGTGGCCACACTTCCTCTTCCAAGCCGGCAGAGGGCGCCCGGGCAGCACAGGGCGCTGCTCTGCTCGGAGGTCCGGTAGCTCCTCCCTCTTTCCCTTCTTTTCCTCCCTCACGTCCTTCGCCCCGGAAGCGCTCATCTGGCACTGATTGCCGGCGTGACTTTGAACAGTCTGGCCGTGGTGCTGGTTGTTCAGCAGAACCGGAGTCGCTGGACCCCCGCACCTGTTCTGCGTTTGCCATGAGGCTGCTGGGCGCAGCCGCTGTTACGGCTCTGGGACGCGGGCCGCTCCCGCGGATCCCTGCTGTCCTGGGCTGGCAGGGGAAGCAGGTATTTTATCAGTGCCCGGCGAGGCGAGACCGAACCGGGACTGTCCCCGAGACCATGTGGCCCTCCGGGGCCAGGGAGGTAGTAACATCCCTCCCCTCTCCGGCATCTCCTTACTGACACTCTGAATACAGGCGCCGTGCCTCTGTGCTGAAAAGCCCATCGTACCTTCACAATTACTTGTTCTTCCTGAACGGCGTCTCGGTGCCTTGGGAGGTTGAACATGCCTCCGATTTATGGTTAAGCCTCTTCTTTTTGGTATACCTTACAGAGGAGAAGTGACTGAAGTGAAGGGGAAAACAATTGAAAAATTAGTGTGTCTAAGGCTCGAAACCAGAGCTTCTGTTCACTATCAGGTGCTCTTTTCATTACAAAGCGTCGTTGGTCTGACCTCTCTTTCACACGACCCTGGGTAATTTGATTTGGCGCTCAAACCTCCCGTTACTTCTCCGTGATCTTGTTTCTGCCTTGTGCGGGGGGAGCTCAGAATGAAGTAGGGTTAGGTAGGAGTTGGTCTTTCCTATCATGCAAACCTGGTTTGTTTTGCTTGCTCGTGTCCCTGGCATTGACTCAACTAAGCGTCCACCACCCAGATTCCATTTAACATTTTACCCACCTTTTCCAAAGTCATTTGCTTTCCTTTTCGCAGAAGTGGCTGCAGAGGTTTATGTTGTCTCTCGTTTCCATAAAAATGCAAGATTTCCCTCCTTTCCTCGATTAAAATAAAGTTATTTTTAACCTTTGTAGGCTGCCTTAGAGCTATTGCACAACTGCATAGAGTATATAAGCCCTCAAAAAGTCTTGCTCGCTGTGAACTACAATAAAGGGGAGGGGGGAAAAAATCAAAGTAAAATTTAAACCAAAAACAACTCTCAATTAAAGTAGTTGTTGGGAGCCTTCTGATTTTATCAGATCCAGTGTATATTTTCAAACCTGTAACCGTCAGTAAAAAATATCTGCCCCTTTTATTCAATTAATTTATTTAAATATATCATTTTGATTTATTTTTAAGACTATATTTTTTTCTGTCTTTTCCTGGCTGTCTGTCCTTTGATTCCAAGGGTTGCAGGTTGAGACATTTACTCTTTTGCCTTTCCAGGCTATTTTGGATGATGTTTTGTGTCCATTGAGAGTCCTTGGAGGAAAGATGTCCGCCAAACCCATTTTAATTCCCTGTTGTGCAATGAATTGAACTTTTCTTCCTTCTCTTTTTTTTTTTTTCTTTCAGGTTAATTGGAAGGTCTGCCGATGGTGTTCTTCGGAGGTGATTCCTAATGAAAGGATAAGAAATATTGGAATCTCAGCTCACATCGATTCTGGGAAAACAACTTTAACAGAACGAGTGCTTTACTACACAGGCAGAATTGCAAAGATGCATGAGGTATGTGGTTCATGTTGATTCCAGATTAGTTAGAGCTTGACTTTAATTATTTTGTAGTTATGATTTAATAAACTTCACAAAACCTGAAAGGTTCAAAGAATGGTAACAGTGGATCTTTAATCAAATTCATATCACCAAGTGGATAGCTCAGATAGGCTTGAAGTGTTGCTCTAAGCAATCTGTCTAGCGACCATTATTGTAAGTGTACTGAGTACTGGTAGATTATCTTTTGAGAATGATAAGTCAATATGGTGTACTCTTAAGCAGCCATTAAAATAGTATTTACATAATTTTTAATTGTTACTATATTTTTAATCCTCACCTGAGGATATGTTTATTGATTTTATAAAAAGAGAGAAAAACATCAGTGCGAGAGAGAAACATCAATCTGTTGCCCCCCGCCCCACAGGCCTGTACCTGGGGATTGCACCCGACACCTTTTGTTGTGTGTGGAACGACACTACAACCAAGTCACCCAGCCAGGGCTCATTTACATAATTTTTAATGTTATCGAGAGATGTTTATAATGGTAAGTGGAAAAAAGGATTTTAAAATGATATATAGTATGAGCCTAATAGTTAAAAAATACAAATATCATCTCCGGCTGGTGTGGCTCAGTTTGTTGGGCATCATCCTGCAAACACAAAGGCTGCAGGTTCGATTCCCAGTCAGGGAACATGTCTGTGTTACAGGATTGGTCCCCAGTTGGAGTGCATGCAAGAGGCAACAAATCGATGTTTCTCTCTTTCTTCCTCCCTTCCCCACTCTCTAAAATCAATAAAAGAAAAAAATACATACATCAGAAAAAATATTTAAGAAAACCTTGAAACTTTCCTGAAGAAATTCCGTATCATTGAGTAACTTAACTCTCCGTTTAAAAATATTTCTTCAGATGAAGATCATCTTCTTAAATCATATACTTTAAAAGCTGAATCTGGGCCTCCAAATCCATATGTAGCAGAGCAGGGAAAATTCTGCTCTCTGAACATCTACTCACAGACTAAGACAAGGCTGGTGTGCAGGAGCAGCGCAGAGGGAGCAAGGGCGGCGCTGAGACTGGGTGATTGACCTGTGGCAGCAGTTGCTGAGAATGGCAATGAAAAAAGGGTTAGGCAAGTAATAGAGGGCAAAATCTGTAATGCTTTCTATTTCATGAGATGATGTGGTTGGCAAATTAGGCTTCTTTGCAAATTACTTTAGGTAACTACCTCTGTTCTGGCTACATCTCAGTAAAGATTTCTTTGCTCTTCGGAATGCCAGTACAGAGAAGTCTGAATTGTTGTGCTTGTGTTTAGGTGAAGGGTAAAGATGGAGTTGGTGCTGTCATGGATTCCATGGAACTAGAGCGACAAAGAGGAATCACTATTCAGTCAGCGGCCACCTATACCATGTGGAAAGATATCAATATCAACATTATAGATACCCCTGGTAGGTTGAGTTCTTGGTTTTATTGCGGCTTATTTGGGCAAAAGCACATTTAGCTACCATGTCGCAGCTCATTTTTAAGTATCAAGTAATACTCAAAAACATGATTGAGTCCCTATTAGAGAAATTTGACTTGGGACCTAGAGCACCTCATCCTTTTGTGGTTTCCCACATAGTGCTAGTAAATTATGAATAGGAAGGCTTGTACCCTTTACCTGTGGCAGCTGATTCCAAAGGTTCCAGTGCCCTTGTGTCTCTTTGAAGTGATCTTATGAGGCCCCTGGACCTTATGGTGAGTGAATGGTATTGGTAATTTAAAAAATTTGCATTCTAATTAGAAGACTTATGTGATGAGCAGAGATATGAAAACTTTTAATTGTCCATGTTATTTTCAGACTGCTCTTGAAGACCATCACACACTTCTTTGTCTCCTTTAGGGCACGTGGACTTCACAATAGAAGTGGAAAGGGCCCTGCGAGTGTTGGATGGTGCAATCCTTGTTCTCTGTGCGGTCGGCGGGGTGCAGTGCCAGACCATGACTGTAAATCGGCAGATGAAGCGCTACAACGTGCCATTTCTAACTTTCATTAACAAACTGGACCGAATGGGCTCCAACCCTGCCAGGGCGCTGCAGCAAATGAGGTGCTGAATCTTAGAAAGGACACAGGGGGAGGGTGATGATCTGATAACAAACTTTGGATTTAGGGCAATTAATTCAGTATCATTGAGCTTTATTCTTACACTTTCCCCCTTCTTAGAACGTTTTTATGTGGGTGACTTACTTTAGGAAATGGAACACTGAAGTCAGGAGTCTGGTTGGTGGTGTGAGCTCATCAACTGCCTTCTCGTTGAAATGGGGGAAATGGGACCTAAGTTGTAGAGATGCTGAAGGTGCATTCAGAAAACAATCTGGCAATTTATGTTTTGCTGTAATTAGAGAAGTTATAATCTTGAGTAGATTCTAAAAGTACTTTGCATTTATTTAGACAAATCTAGAGGATCATTTTCAGTCTAACGTTTACTTGAGGAATTTAATTGGTGCCCTGAAGTAGTATACTGTATTCCCTTGCTCTCATACGGTAAAATACCTGCGACGAGAACAGTAACTCTTCCTTTCCGTACCAGATAGAACCCAGTGGTCTTATAGCATGTTATATTTTGCACAATTCTGTGTAATTTCAGATAGTCTTTGAAAAGAGTCAAAGTTTCACCCGTTACCTCTTGTCGATACGTAAATAGAGCTGTAGAGTTTCTAGTCAAGTTACACAAGGCAGAGCTGATGGACATAGGCAGCAAAGTTTGTGATGGTGGGAAGGCTAAGAGCGATGCGTCCGATGACAAAGGAGATGGTGTTGAGGAACTTGAAGTGGCCATATTGCTGTGTGCGCTTTGATGAAGGGATGTATTTGGGAATATAAGCGTGAAATTTTTCTTTATTAGATACTTGTAATATTTTCATGGTAAAATGAAACGTTTTCTTCACTTTTTATTATATTTTAGTTGTGGTTGGCAGTACAGGGACTCTTTCTGCCAAGTCTTTTTCTAAATTTTAGGACTATTCTCTTTTAGCATCTGTTTGACCACTTTGGTTTGTTTCACTCCCTTTTTACCTGTTTTTATCATTTTTGTAACTCTCATTCAACAGGTTTTGAAACTTCTGGATCCAGTCTCTGTGTTTGAACCTTCCTTCCATACTCTCTCCTGCTTCCCGGCTCTATTTTGCCCTGGGCAGCGAGTCAATTTCCCAGCTCACTTGTCTGTGGTTCATCTGCAGCCCTGCAGTGACTTAGCCTGTTTTTTCTTTTTAATTTCAGCAATTACATATAGTTAATTTACATAAACTTTCTCTCTTATTGCAATATCCTTATTAATAGAGGTCATTACTTCTCAGACCTTTACGTGTTATTTCTTCTAGTAAGTCTCTCCTTGGAGGTTAGTACTACTTCTTGAGTTCACACCGCTCTTTCAGACTATTGGTTTCCACAAATATTTGGTGATGTCTCGTTATCTGTCCGTAAGTATAGCTGGGCACGTGGAGTCCATATCAAACAGTGGGAGCTAGAGAGTGTTTCTTCTCAAGTGAGACTCGCTGCCTGTGAGTGTGATTCCCATTCAGCGGTTGTGCCTGGTGGTGGTTGCAGGCTGATGGTACGCATCCGATGTCAACACTGCTCTGAGTTTTCCCCGCAGAGCTGCTCTCCTGACAGCTCTAGTCTGCCTGGCCGGAGTCGGCGGATTCCGGACTGAGATGCGGCATAGCTACCCCACCCTCCTTCTAGAGTTCTTTTTGTTGCCTCAGGAGGGTCCTGGCCTCCCGAGTGTGATGAGCTTGGCCGTCAGTCTGTCCCCGGCTGCTTTGTCCCTTCTGTTCTGACTTGCTGATGACACCCCTCCCAGGTCTACACATCTGCTACTGATTTATTTTTATCTTTATTTTAGGTCTAAACTAAGCCATAATGCAGCATTTATGCAGATACCCATTGGATTGGAGGGTGATTTTAAAGGTATTATAGATCTTATTGAAGAACGAGCCATCTATTTTGATGGGGACTTTGGGTAAGTATTATAAATCAGCCATTAAACTCTTATATTTTAAAAGAGTTTATCTTAAAAAGAAGGAAAGAATGAATTCTCTAAACATAAACACCTCTCTTGAAATGTTGCTGGAAGAATATCCTCCAAGATTATTTTGTTTTAATGGCTTTAATCCTTTTTGCTTAGGATTCATTCAAAGGGAGAGTATGTTACTTGTTGGGCAATATATTTACATCGCATTATGACATGCATGGTGTGGTAGAAGGCCTTCAGCTTGGGTTAGTAACGTAATGCACATCCGTCCGTCCATTCACTCATTCTGCAGACTTTTAGGGAGCAGCTGTGTCCTGGGTATTGTGATAAAAACTGCTATCATAATAATTTCCTCTGCCTAATTCATGGCATTACAAAGGTAGAAAGATTAATATGTAAAAAGCAGTTAAAATTTGTACACATGTGGTGTAGACAATAAAAGAAGCAAACTGGTACCTGTATTCCATGGTATTTGGTTTGTCAGTCAGCTTTTGGGTGACCTCAGCATACAAAGCACTGCCATCGCTCAGTGGTTCCCAAGCCATGGCCTTCAGGGAAACCGCCTGGGGAGCTTGTCAAAACACACACTCTTGTGTCCACCTCCAGAGACTGATTCAGTAAATCTCAGGGTGGGGCCTGGAATTTGCGTTCTGGAAAGCTCCCAACGATGATGTTCCAGGTCTGCACACCACACTTTGAGTGGCACTAGTCTAGTCAGTGCGGGGAGTCACAGATGACCCTTTGCTTGGAGGAGGGGCCCCAAGAGCCTGGCAGTTTCCTTCCTTTGCTGTGAACAGGGATTGCTGGTCTGGCAGGCGGGTAAAAGGGTGTCTGGATCAGTTACATGGAGAATTTATCTTTGCCAGCCTTCTTGTAGGCAGGGAAAAGGCGGGGCTGCGCAGCAGACGAGGTGTTTCTCGCACTTGTGTGACAACTCAGTAATGACAACACAGTGTGTCTGTTTCTCCTTCCAGTGAGTGCAAGGCCCAGGGGGCCGGGATTTTTATCAGGTTTATTCCAGCCCGAGAGCTGTCTGGTACATACATAGTAGGGACTCAACAAATAATTTGTAAATAAATGAATGAATGCACTTCCCTAGAATTACCAGAGTACAAGTTTCTGTTTTTTAAAGTAGAGACTTTTAAACTTTGTAGTACATCAGAACCACAGATGGAACTTCTTAGTAAATCTGCTCCTTTCCCAGCCCTAGATCACTGGATTTGTATATTTTGATGAGTCTGACATAAAAGTCAAAGAACCAGAGAGCTTGCCAGAAACAAAGAGATGAAGCTCTAAAGACTGAAGAACAATCTTTAGAACTGTTTGCAATTGGTTGTTTTTTATTTAGTTACTTTTTTCTGAAAAGATTATTATTCTTTTGCCATTAGTTTCATTTTTAAAATACTTTGAAAAGTTTTATACTACTATTTCTAAATATCAAGTATATTTGCTTATTCATTGTATATATTTTATTGTGACTGTTATCTCTTTGGCCTCTAGAGGAATAGAGAACTGGTGCCAAGGTTGACAAGTCTGTTGTATTAGTGACCCTTTTCACCATAAAATGGGGTGTTCTGTGTTAGAAGTTGTGTGATTGGGTTTTTTCGTAACGGGAAGGAATAATCAGATCTCTCTAATTCTGCTTGTAAGAGACTGTGATGTTTTGATTAATTTGGTTAATAGACTTTTCAGGTGTTCACATGGCTTTGGAGTCAGGTTGGCTTTGAAACTTGGCTCTTCCATTTGCTAGTAGCACCATCTAGAGTGGTTTGCTTTGCCTGTTTTGCCCGCTGTCTGAATTTTAGAGATACCCATTAGTTTTATTAGCTATATTAATACAAATATATCAGAGCCCTTTCTTATCTAAAAAGATTTGCTATTAGATTAACTTTTTCACTGGTGCTTTATATGTTTGATTGCATATCCTCAAAGTACCAAAGTAAACCATTTCTGTTCTTAGTCAGATCGTTCGCTATGAGGAGATTCCAGCAGAATTCAGGGCAGCAGCAGCTGACCACCGGCAGGAGCTGATTGAGTACATTGCTAATTCAGATGAGCAGCTTGGTGAGATGTTCCTGGAAGAAAAAGTCCCCTCAATTTCTGATTTAAAGGCAAGTGCTCTCAAAATAAGTCTTTTAACCAAAAATAATGAGAAAGTTTTGTTTCTCAGGCAATGAACTGATACCTTTTTTTCATTTTTAAATTGAATTATTTATTTTTTAATGCATTTAAACAATGGAATATTACTTGGCCGTAAAAACATTTTTTTTCAATAAGGATATTTTACCCTTTGTGATAGCATGGATGGACCTGGACATGACGCTTTGCTGCATGGGTGTTATTGATGAAACTGGAGTAAATTTATTTAACATAATTAACATTAATGAAATTAGAGTAAATATATTTAACATAATTCTTCAGAATATACTTGGCACGCATTTACTGTTATATAACAGTTCTATATAACTGAGTTATATGTTATATATTATATAACTTGAGTTACATAATATTTTAAAATGGAAAGGAATCATAATTTATTCTAGAGAAAAAGACACTTAAACAGCCAACCTTTTGAGTATGTTTTTATTAAGAAGAGAGAAGATAAATACAGAAATTTCATGGCAGTAAGTATGTATGTTCTTTAAAAAAAAAAATAAATCAGTTAATTAAATATTTTTAATAAATTATACTTTCATATGGTTTAAACATTTAAAAAATATGCAAAGGTTCACAGCTCCATCGTTTTCTGCACCCTCCCTAAAATAGGTAACCAGTTAATAAGTTGCTGATGTATCTTTCAAGAGATTTTTATACACACACACACACACACACACACACACATTAACTTTCCCCTTTCTTTTACACGATTAACTTACTGTTTTAAGCAGTTAGTGTACTGTTTATAGTGTTCTCTGTGTGTATCTTCTATGTGCATTTTTTTTTATCAAATTAAAAATGAGTGACATTCCAAAAGTCTTGAAAGCAGCTTCCTAACCCTGAACAAGTAGCTTTTTTTTTTTTCTTTATCCTGTATTTTGACCTTAAGTTATAGAGGACCTAATTCTAGTCTCCACTAGAGCCAGTACTCCAAAGACTACCAATCATTTCTTTCATTTTTTTAGTTTGTAATTGATCTGAAACACAAAGTGTGATCTTTAGGATTGACTAATCATTAATTTATTTTTCTTTCGTAGCTTGCAATCCGAAGAGCTACTTTAAATAGGTCATTTACTCCAGTCTTTTTGGGAAGTGCCTTGAAGAACAAAGGAGTTCAACCGCTTTTAGATGCTGTTTTAGAATACCTCCCAAATCCAGCTGAAGTCCAGAATTATGCTGTTCTCAATCAGGAGGAGTAAGTCTTGGAAACTGATTCTTAGTTTATGCAGAAATACTTTTATCATTTATGCACTATGAAAGAATGTAAGAATAGTTCTTGTAGTTGTGTTTTTGTTATTTTTCATAATTTATAAAAACAATCACCATTTCTATTTGGGTAAAAACTTTGGCACATACAAAAATATTTATTATCCCAGTTCCCATATTTGTGAGTTAGATGTATTATTTGTTTTATTATCCATCAGGGTTTTACATCATTAGAAAATTCATTTGGGACCAGCTGTTCTCAGTCATATTAAAAAAAAGGCTTCAAGAAGCAAACTTTTTTTTAAACTCTCATCGATTACAAGGTCTTTCCAGAAAAAGTCCAGTCATTGTTAATATAACAAGAACGGTTTGTGCAACATCGATATAACCTGGCAGCCAAGGAGAGTGGAATGTGCGTGTGTGAACAATGACAACTTCACTTATACTCGTCAGTGGGGCTGTAGATGCTGTTGAGTGAGCATGTGTGCTGTGTGGGCTTAGCATTCAAAATGACTGAGCGAGTAGAGCAATGAATCTGCATCAGATTTCTCATTAAGACTGAATAGTCCTCCACAAAAACTTCGGATGATTCAGAAGGCTGCAGGTATGGGCATCTGGTGGTTGGCAGCTTCATCATAACAACATGCGTGCTTATGCATTGCATCTCATGCAGAGTTTTTTGGTAAAACATCAGGTCATCCAGATGACTCACCCCCGTTACAGTGCAGATTTTGTGCCCTGTGACTTCTGGCTTTTTCAAAAACTAAAATCACCTTTGAAAGGAGATTTCAGACCGTCAGTGAGATTCAGGAAAATATGACAAGGTAGCTGATGGTAACTGGGAGAACTGTGTGAGGCCCCAAGGTGCCCACTTGGAAGGGGACTGGGGCATCATTGTCCTAGGTACAGTGTTTCTTGTATCTTGAATAAATGCCTCTGTTTTTCATATTACATGGCTGGATGCCTTCTGGACAGACCTTGCATTTTTCTCTTTCTCTATCAGACCATTTTTGTGGGTTTTTTAGTTTCCTCTGGTCCTGTCACAATGTTGTCACTAAGCCCATAGAAGTTATTCTTACAGATCTCTCTCAGTGAAACTCTACTGAGTGTGAAGTCAGAGTGTTTGGGACATGTGCCTCTTCTCAGATAATACCCTTTGATGAAACAAATTCACATTAAAAAATATCAAATATTGCATCTCACAGAGTTATATTTGCTTTATTTTAAGTGACTCAAAAGAGAAAACCAAACCCAAAATCTTAATGAACTCCCAAAGAGATGATTCCCACCCATTTGTAGGCCTGGCTTTTAAACTGGAGGTAAGTTGCTTCCTATTGTATTTAACTGCTATATGTAGAAATTTTCCTTTGGCTTTTATTCCTATTACAAAATGACCCTTTTGACATATTCGGTTATAGGTTTCTCTGATGTTACTCTTTTCGCTCCCTTTCCACATAGAAGGAAGTTATTATGCACAGCGCACACTTAAGGAGTGGAAATTAGGCTCCACCTCCTTGAGGGAACAAATCTACTTAAGTTAGTTGGGATTCTTCTGTATAGGAGACTTGTCTTTTCTCCCACATTTATTTATGTATTTAGTCACTTGTTTATATCAGTATGGACTTTCGGATACTGTATTTTGCCATGTATAGCGCATTCCTGTGTATAATGCACACCATGTTTTTGTGCGCGTTATACATGGACTTCTTATACCCGCGGTATGTCATCATTATACCCATGTATAATGTACATCCTTATTTGTCCTCAAAAATTTGGACAGAAAGTGCTCATTATACATAGCAAAATACAGTACTTTGTACTTTGAATTACAATCCAGTAGTAAGTACATTGCTTATTTTGCTGCCTAGATTGACCAGGTTTGGCCATTGTAGGTCCTTTGGTTGGCTCCTGTGTCTCTTTGACATGCTCCAGTGTTTGCTTTTCTGACTGCTGCTTTCCCTGTCTGGCACTACAGGATATTCCAGGCTTATCGTGTATATTCCCTGCCCAGCCCTAGAATTAGCCATTTCTTTAGTGTCCAGGTTCTTTTTAACAAAGAGAATGGTATTAAAAACCAAGATATGGTCACTGGGTATGCTTTTTATTGGGGTGTCTTTACTTCTGTTCATTTTTTTTTTAATGTGGGGAAAGAAAGGTGGATACATTGAAAGTGCTATGGACGAAATTATATTTTGGAGGCTTTTTCCTAGCCTCCAAAATTTTTTACTCCTAGGTACAGCCTCCCAAAAATTTTACTTTAAAATTTTTATAGTATACTTTTTATTATCTCTAAAATGAGAAAAAATAATTTTAAATTAAAAAGTAGAAATAGCATTGCAGTGACAGTTTTTATGCATAAAGCTTTTAAAAATACGTGTTTAGGAATATTTTGTTAGGATCCCCAGAATAATGAATATAGAGTTAAAGATATGGAATATATTAATATTTAATGGTTTGTATTGCAAAATTGCTTTCATACTCAGAATTAATATATTGGATTATTTCAGTGAATCTTTATCAGATTAGTAAAAATCATTGCTGACTTCCTAAATGAAAGATGTTATTTTAATATTTTTGTCTTGCCTTAATTCCTAATGATAAAGAATATTTTTTCATTTACTGTATTTATTATGCAATTGTATTTTCTAGTTTGTATTTGCCTCTTTTTTAAAAAAATTAGTGTCAAAAATTTTTACTTATTTGTATGAGCTTTCTCTAATAACGTTGATTTTTAAAAAACTATTTGTACTTTAAAATTTACATAGTTAGGTTGATCAGTCTTTGTCTTTAGTCATTCTTTCATTTTTAACCTTAGATAGTTGTGAAGTTTTCCTCACGATTTTGATTCTTTTATGTTGTTATTTTTTCTGTCTGCCCTTACCCAATCTTGACTTCTAGGCAGGTCGATTTGGACAGTTAACTTATGTTCGCAATTATCAAGGACAGTTGAAGAAGGGCGACACCATCTATAATACAAGGACAAGAAAGAAAGTGCGGGTGCAGCGGGTGGTGCGCATGCACGCTGACATGATGGAGGCAAGTACCCGGCTGCCGTGAGGTCCGAAATTTCTCTCCTGCAGGTGAAATAGGCCTACCTTCTTGGTACCCTAAGCCCCACAAGAAAATTACTTGTAGTTGAATGTGTTTTCCTAACTTCTTCCTTTTTAGTGAGGTGTGCTACAATTCTGATGTAGCACTTTAGTATAGGCTACATTAGCAGATGTTAAGAACACACAATTTATACCGCTATTCATGAGTTAACTATATTTCCTCAGTGACCAAGGTTAAGGAGAAGAGACAATTAGTTCCCCAAAACTCAGAACACAGATTCAGCACTATCCTCAAGAGCTGTCATTACAAAGAGTATGTTTTTAGGACCATGGAACTGTGCTTCTCAAAGGTGAGAGTAGTAAATTCACAGATTTTCCCATATCGTTCACTGAAAATACTTGCTGAAATGTGGCAGGTCTGAAAGCTCTGTTTAATGCTAGAGCTTTGCGTTCATAGAACCAACCCCAAGAACAGCCATAGTGGTATTGGAATCCATCTGAAGATTTAAAACCTCTAAAGGTCTGGTCTGGGAGATAAATTTTGGCTTGAATTCTTGACTTGGTTCTGAATCTGTCCTAGCCTCTCCTCTGACTCCTAGGGTTAGGCCTTGGTAGGAATACCAAGTGTGTGAGGTGGTCTCCTTCTCTTACCCTTTCCCAGTTCAGCTCTGTATTCCTGGAGAAATTTATTAGTCTAAGAAAAATCTTAGGATGTTCAGTAATTTTTGGTGGTCATAACTTTTGTATCTTCTGAAAAATGAACAGGCCATCTTTCAAAATCGGACAGAATTGCTATTTTGAGATATAGGCAGCAGGGGGCAAGCTAGAGGGATTAATGATTATCACAGCTGTTTTATGGGCCAGAAACTAGAATTGTACAGCTGTGTAACCATTAAAGTAAGACACATGCACGCACATGTTCATTCAGAGCCACAGCTGTTACGAATGAACTGTCAATATAAAAGGACAAAAACAAGGAAGTTTAGAGCCACCAATGTTTTGTTCTTAGATTTCCTGTTTTCTTAACTGTATGCATCTGTGAGAAATTACGATTGTTTTAAGTAAAATGGATTCCATTCTCCTGCCTTTGTTTTCAAAACTTCCTCTGTAGGTTTTTCTTGTACACCTTTGTCAGACACATCTCATTGTTGGACTGTGGCAACACATATAGAACATGGTTTTAATTCCATGGAAATAACTTCAGAAGTGCGAGGCTCTGGGTTCTATCAGTTCTACAGGTCCTCCAAGTAATGATGCCATAGCTCTGAGTTTCCATTGAAAGTACAGTCTTGTCTGTTGAAATGTGGTTTAAATAAGGGCCCAATCTAAGGTATGTCTTGCCAGGGGTGATTGTTGGTGTTGCATTGGTTCTAGCTAATTCATTCTCCATAAAATTCATGGTGAGATTCTGCGATGTTTGTTTACATTCAATGGGTTTATTGTGTGAGTACTCTCTAGCCACCCTGTTCTGATTTGTATTACTTGTTATTTCTTTATTTAGGACGTTGAGGAAGTATTTGCTGGAGACATCTGTGCATTGTTTGGCATTGACTGTGCTAGTGGAGACACATTCACAAACAAAGACAATAGTGGACTTTCTATGGTAAGTCATTTCATTTCAAAGCTGTTTACCCCCTGAGTTTCAAAAGTCTATGTTTTTATGTAGTACATTTGGTACTTCAGAAAAACAACCACAAATGTGTTTGTTGAGTAGTGCTGCAGACATCAAATATAGATTGGTTGTGGCTCTTTAAATGTCCATTAGACAAGTGTTCTGTGTAAGCCAATTTATCTGGTTTTTCTTAGTAAAGTCATTTCATGATCCTCCAGGGTTTTAATGTAGAGGGAAATCTCCACTACACAGGAAAATACACCTGGACTGTGTAGCTCTGACTCCTCTACCCTGAGCTCTGCCTCCCCGTTGTGGGTACATCTCTAATTGCTGTCACTTTTCTCAGCCTGGTCCCAATGGAGTGCTCCTTCCTTAGTAACTCAACAACCAGAGCAGACTCTTCCCTCAAGAACTGTAAGACCAGACTAACATTTAGACTAGACTCAGCTATAACATAACAGAAAGGAACCAAAGTGTAGCTAAACAGTTGGACAGCCTGCTCTGTGGCACTGATAGGTCCTTTCTCATCACCGAGGGACCCTGAAGGGCGAGCATGCCGTTAGTACACACAGAGCCTGGGGAAGCCCTGAGGCTGAGAGTCTACCTCTGTAAATGGAGGGCAGGGAGAGACTGCAGAAGGGGGAAGGCCACTCCAGTCTGGCAACTGTCAGATTTTTAAGGGAAACTTACAGAGGAGGCACATCTTGGGCAGCTGCAAGATGAGATGGCTAGTCTCTGCCCTCCCAGGAGGTTCCAAAGAATTGTTATATAGGGTGAAAAAGGGGGAATAGTCACAGGTACTAGTACATGAAATTGCCTAGCGTGCTTGACCATGTCAGGACATTAGCCTGTTCCAGGGAGCAGCTGATAGCAGGAGACAAGAGAGGCCGCTTTATTTATGTAAGAGTGAACATCAGTTACAATCAGACAGTCTCTGAGGGGTGTTTGTGGTAAGCCTTCTCTGTTTGGGCCCAGGTTCAGCTCATGGTCCAGACAGTGGTCCCATCATGGAATAGTCTCTCCCCTCTACTCATGCTTGGGCAGTTCCTGCCTCTGAATTCCCTTCACTCACTTCCCATTTTTTTAAATTAATTAATTAATTTTTCCAACTACATTTGTCTCTGCCTTCCCCCCACCACTTTCCTCTGCCCCTCACTTCCCATTTCTGTCCGTGTAAGAGAACAGACTGTCCACATACAATAAGACTCTTCACTGAATTCAATAAAGAATATGACTGCCTAGGGGATAGGTAATTTGTAGTGAACAAATTTACAGTGGGTCATTTATGTAAGAGCTGGTCCAGCTCTCACAGATGAGCACTGTAATAGTTCCCAGATCATATAATTTTATAATACAGTGTTTTGTATAAAATATTCTCTAATATCTGGTTTTAATGTTGATTTAAGACAGTACAAAAATTAAATCTGTACGGGCTTTTGGGAGCTCCGGTTAAGAGGACTGCTTTATGAGCATGATTAATAAGACTTTCTCTACATGCGTGTCATTAGCAATAGGAAGGGCTAGGGGTTGTGGCAAGTGCTCAGGCTTTGAAGCAAGTAGACCTGGGTTAGAGTCTCACCTCTGCCTATATTGCCCACTGGCCTTTGGCCACATAATTTTTTCTTCTTTCCATGCCTTTAAGATTTTATTTGTAAAATGGGACTAATAATATCTGCCTCTCAGAGTTGTGGTTGCTTAAATGAAGTATCATATATAAAGAATCCAGTGTCCTTTCTCTGTTCCTTTTCTCACTGATCATAATTTTGATTAAATAACTTATCAGAAGATGGCAACAGTAAATGTAGCCACCAGTCAATAAGAATTCTACATCTCAGCATTTGAATTCATTACAATGATTATGTTAAACTGAAAGTGTTGATAAACTGAAGGGTCATAAATAGTTAAGTAAATAGATACTTTATTTTTGTTGTTTTCAGAGGAAGGAGATCATATAAATGGATGCCTTTATTAATATATTAATATTTTCATTCATTTAATGCATATAGTGAATGCTTTTAATTCCAGGATGTATATTGTCTAACCTAAAGATGTTTAGAGCTTTGTTCTGTTGTGAGGTAGACTGTTGAAATTAACCCATTCCTGACTCTGACCCATACAGTACTATATCTGAATTCTGTTTTTTAAAAAAATATTTTAGGAGTCAATTCATGTTCCTGATCCTGTCATTTCAATAGCAATGAAGCCTTCTAACAAGGTAGGAATTTGTTTTAATGCTCAGTATATCACAATAAAGATTTGAGCTCTCTTTCCTCTGTCTCCCTAATGCATATGGTATCTTGTGATAACCAGCAATCTTATTGTCTGTTTCCTCTTTTGGTGTTGAGATCACCTTTTAAAATTTACCTGTCAGTTAGTAGTAATTACTCCTCAGTGTATTTAAAGAAATTGATGATATTCATAAGACGGTGCTTCATAACTCTTTACTAAGTAAAACTGTAACATTTCCTCCAGACTGGTAAGTGTCACTTCTAGGTTCAGATCATAAGAGGATGAGAAAGGGGAAACAGGGACATTTGTCCTAAGTTGTGGAAAACGTCACTGTAAAGTACATTAGAATATTGCATAGATTAATTGCCTCATGGGTTTGTGGTAGTCATAAAGTAAATATATGATCATAACATGGAAAGGCTGTAAACAAGACTGTTTTCCTCACTTTCAAAAATAACAAGTTTATGATTGGGTATGATGCCATTTAGTTTTTTACAAAGCCAAGATTATTTGAGTAAGTTCTGCATTCATATTAGCTTGCCATTGGAGTTAGCCCGATCTTGAATCTTAATTGTTCAGTGCTTAAATTGCTTTGACATTCATAGCAGTCACATTAATATGGTATTGAAATGAACTCATTCACACACAGAGTAAACAGTTACGACCTCTTGTCATCTGAATGTATCCTGGTTTGTCTTGTGGATGCAGTAACAGCTACTACTTCATCTGTTCTGAGGAACTTGAGATTCTACAGACCCATCTCTTTATAGAAAAAAGAAGGTTGGGGTGGCAAAAAAACATTAACTTACTCCATCTCAGAAATCTGAGGAAAGGCAAATCTTACATCTTAGTACAGTAAGATGTCACAGTTTATTCCAAGTACTTTGCTAAATTGTTTGCTTTTCCCTTCAGAATACACCTGGCTAGAACTCACCTAAATTCAGAGTTTATGTAAGACTTTTGTCTTGATAGTTCACAGTAATGGAGGGAAATCAAATGCATGAATATCTAAAGGGTCTTTTTGGTATCTCAGGATTATTTGTTTGCTGGAATGAATTCAAAATGAATGATTAAATCACTCCATAAAGCTGTGCATTTCAGGAGTGGAGGCAGGGATGACCTCCCAGTAAGCTGAGAGTACCTGGCAAGTGCAGGGCAAAGGGGATAAAGGCTCTGGAGATAGACTAACCCCAGGTTCATTCTCAGCTTTGCTGTGGACTGTCTGTGTGGCCTTGAGCAAGTCAGCTAACTTGTCTGTACGCAGTTTCCTCACCATACACAGAATATATAGCACCCAGCTCTTGGCCCATGTAATAATTGTTAGTACTGGTGATTCAGGGTGTGTTAGTTTTCTGTTGCTGCCATAAGAAATTACCACAAATTTAGTGGCTTAAAACATCACAAATGTGTTACTTTATAGTTATGTAGGTGAGCTATCTGACACAGTTCTTAATGGGCTAAAATCAAGATTTTCGGCAGGACTGTGTGCCTTTCTGGAGGCTCTGGGGAATAGTTTATTTCCTTGCTTACTCAGATTGTTGGAAGAATTCAGTTCCTTGTTGTGGAACTGAGGTCCCCATTCCTTGCTGTCACCTGAGGGCTGTACTTAGTGCCTAGAGGCTGCCTCCTTTCCTCTTGTCTTCAGTGCCAGCAGCAGCGGAATGAGTGCTCTCATGCTTTTGGCAGGGGGTCCAATCCACAAGCCACATGCAGCCCAGCATGGCTGGGAAGGCGGCCCAACACAAAATCGTGAATTTACTTCAAACCTTTTTTTTTTTTTGCTCATCAGTTTTCTTTAGTGTTTGTGTATTTACTGTGTGGCCCAGAGATGCTGAAAGGTTGGACACCCCTGCATATTTCCTGCCTCTTTCCTCTTCACATCTCTCTGACCTCTTCTGCATTCCTCTTCCATTTTTTTTAAAGACTATGTAATTACATTGGGCCCATCCAAATTACTTATGTCTGTAACCTTAATCACATCTGCAAAGCACCCTTTACCATGTAACGCAACATTCACAGGTGTGGGGGTTGATTAGCACATATCCTTAGAGGCCCATTATTTTGCTTATCACATAAGGAAATTACATCGAAGGAGAATGAAGGTGCATGAAACCACGTCCAAACAGCTTGTTTTGAAAGTCTCAGTATGGAATTTGCCTTATTGTTAGTCTTAACTGTCCTCTTGAATCTGCAGTAGTCTTGGTAAACATACTTAATCATTTAATTATGTATAGGATTTCTGAAATATAACACAGTAATACAGATTTTACTTTCTGCTTCATGGGCAGTTTTCCACAAATGGACAGTTTTTGTCAGTATAATAGTAGAGGGCATAGAATTAATTAAGTCTTGGGCTCTTGTATCTTGGCATGGAAGGAAGAGTCTATCAGCTAGCTATTTCCAGCTCTATTGGCTGTGTGGTATCCAAGTGCAGATATTTAAAGAGTATGGCCTAGGAACTAGATGGTAAGTCATTTTTATTTCTTAACTGCATATATATTTAATTTCATTCAGTAAAGTTCTTTCAACAGTCCCATTGTTTATCATGATTAGTAAAATGTGTAATGACTTTCTTCTTTTAAAGAATGATCTGGAAAAATTTTCAAAAGGTATTGGCAGATTTACAAGAGAAGATCCCACATTTAAAGTCCACTTTGACACCGAGAGTAAAGAGACAATTGTATCTGGAATGGGAGAATTACACCTGGAAATCTATGCTCAGGTAATGAATAACAAGGAAGTTAAATTTATTTCATGTATGTCTGTGTTTTGGTAAGAGCAAAAGTCAGTAATTGTCAGTATAATGTCCATAAACTACAATGTGTTTTTCAAACTCATTCTGGTTTGTATCTAGATGTGGTATACTGCCTCCTTTACTATGTATTACAAATTAATTATTTTTGCTCTATCAATCTTTTTATTTGTAAAATATTGCAGACTTCTAGAATCAAGGTGCAGGGGATCTGTACAAAGACCATCCGTCCATCCCCAGGTCATGGTTAGTTGGGTTTTCAGCCTTATCTGGGTCGCAACCTGCTGGGAGAAGCTGGCTGAGAAAGTCGGCCCACCAGTACCCACACATTGGGTCATTTCCTGCTTATTTTATTCTGAAGTCAGTTCTTGGAGATCATTAGAATACAGATAAAAGAATGGGTAGATAGGATACGTACTTTCCGAGGAAACGTCCTATGTACATCTGAATGGAAACAAGATACGTGACTTAAGATTTAAAATTTTGGTTGTGATCCTATCTTTGAAGTTGAGACAGTATAAAATTCTGACAGTAGATTCATATACTATTCCAGTGAATATGTAATAAGATGGAATAAAGATGACATTTTAGTGGATATATCTAATGGATATAAGTATAAATTAATCAGTCTAAATTAGAATTCACTTATACAGAATGTATAAAAACAGTTTATATTGTTTAATATCATGTATCTAATCCTTGTAAGATATTTAAATGATTTAAGATTGATCATTTGCTTATCTATTATATTTAAATAACTGCTTCTAATAATTTTCTTAGGATTTTATTTTTGTTTTTTTAATTTTAAATATACCAAAATATTATTTCCCCTGCTCTTTGTAGAGGATGGAAAGAGAATATGGCTGTCCTTGTATCACAGGAAAGCCTAAAGTTGCTTTCAAAGAGACCATTACTGCCCCTGTTCCGTAAGTATGCAACACAATTGAACATACTATGAGGCTGTAATTGAAGCTTTTTATTAGGGGATATGCACAGCACTATGACTGTTATTAAGACACTGTTATATCATGAAACTCTTTATTGTGGAAGCTATACAGTTCTGTGCTATAAGCACTGACACTGTAGGATTTATTTGGCCCCTTACGCTAGATGTCAATGAAGAGTGACGTACACATCATCAGTAAGCGTTGGGTGTTCGTTTATTCCACTTGTGCTTCCTTTGGCAGGCGGCTATTATGTTTTACTTTAGTACCATACTGTGGATGCCATAGAACTTGCATTTGCCAAGGAATAATCTCCTGCAAGTAAAGGAAACTAATGCTGTGATAAAATTCAGAAAACATTTAAGAGAACAGAATCGGATTTATATTTTGTTAGAAACAAAATAGTCCTCATAAAGAATAGCACAAAACCAATTCAGTTGCGACAAATGTAATGTACTTCAACCTGGTACATATTTGAATTTACATGAATTCTGATTTAGAGTCAGAATTAATAAGGCATAGTAGCTATAAAACGAGTCTCAATTTTCAAAGTGGCATCAAATGAAAGGTAAGTGATACTTCACCTGAGATGGAATATCATGAAGTAGAATGGTATAGTCTAACTCAATGAAGTCATCATTTCTTTGCTGTAATAAATAAAGACATGGTGTGTAAAATAATATCATTGGCAAAAACGATATTTTAATTTTAAAAATCAGCTTTCATTAGTAGATGATTATAATACTTCCACTTAAGTAAAAATAAAAATTGAATGTCATAATTTATTTAACCTGTCAGAAAAACTTTCTCATAAATTTTTTTCAAATTACCACTTAAAATTATGATTTTTCATTTGTTACCCTAAAAATTATTTCCCTTTCTGTTTCTAGTTTTTGAGTTGTGGTAGCTACTTAAGAGCTCTACAGTCTACAGTTGGCCATTTAAAACTCCTTAATGTTTACATAGTTCAGAAAAGGATAATTTAAGGGATAAAATACTGAAATGAGTGTTAAATTAAAGGAAACCAATATTATAATAGAAATTCTCCATAAAAAACTGAAAATAGTAAAATTTAGTGAATGTAGTTATCTGATTTTGTAATTAGAGTTTGATCTATGCTGCTTATTGCTTTGTGCATATAAAGTATTTATACCATCAGCTACACAGAAATACTGCATCCACGTGGTTTAAAACCACAATCACCAGACACAAGGCTCTATAAGGCACATAATCGATGCACTGAAATAAGCCCTAGACTTCAAGCAGCAGCACAAACTCCTGTGGCTCCTTTGGCTAAAAGAGATTATAAATGTGACTCCAGGGTCAAATGAAAATATACTATTCTCTCCTTATGGTAGCGTGAAGTAATCTTTCTTTGACTATACCGATGAAGAATGCCCTTTAAAAGATAAGGTAAAAATCAGTAGTAAGCTTTCTTACATGTTGGATCTTCGTAGGTAAAGATAATGTAATGTACAGGGTCCGGCAGAAGTAACACCTGGTTGAGAGTGGTTGGTGGGGTAATAATTTTCAGTTTTAATTTGAACATTTCACCTCAGATGTCATATGGTGTGGTTGAGTGTGACACTATTATGTTACAGAATTACATGCTTATGATTTTGTAATAGAAAAGGGGGGTTACTTGTGCTGGACCCTGTATATAACCTGAAGGAGTGGTTAAACCCTTCTGTTGAGATTTTCATTAGTGCTTTAAAACTGCAGTTTGGTGAAGGATTAGAGGAGTTTTCTTTCATAAAGCTTCTAGCCCTGTCTTTGTGTATATCTTGCTATTAAAACATGTCTTGAAAGATCATGATCATGATTGCATAGCCTCTGCATCATGGACCAGTTACTCAATTATTTGAGGCCAGAGTACCCCTATAGGAGTGTTGTAACCAGGACTGATGTCTACAAAAATGCATTAGGAAAAGGCACTATTTCTCAAAATGTTGTTGTCATGTTTATGTCAGGTATTCGACAGCACACTCCCAAGTATTGTAATTGGGTATCCTGCCTGCCTGTGCCACTAGGTATCTCATAACTGGTTGCAAAAGCCTTTGGAGTAAAGGCGCTCCAGGTGCTGCCGTGCAGTTAGTTATCCACAAGCTGTAACAAGTCAGCTGGGAAGTCTTTGTCATTTATGGGGTGACTAAAACTGTTGCAGTTTCTTAGCACACTACCTTCCTTCTTCATTAGATACCACTAGTTGACATAGTTTCTTTCAGTTCTAAAAAGCAGCAGTTCAAAATAGGCATATCAGATTTAAGAAAACACAAGGCTAGCAACAAGTAAGATATGAGGTAGTAAACTGTGACTCAATGGGTTATGAAAGAAAAGTATATACAGAAAGCTTCATAAAGCCCGAGATGCTGATATTTTTGTTCTGGCTCACCTCGGGGGGGAAATGGCAGCCATGTTTCTAAGGATCTCTGACACTACAATTTCAGTAGAGGAAGAAAGCAGAGGTAGTTTCAATATTGCATGACTGTAGTAATTTGAACATAAAACTTAGGTTGCCAAAGGAAATAATCTGTATTAAGATGAGCACAAAAACTGACTGCCAGATTATTTACAATGTAAGACTTTGCTCTCTCGAAACTGCAGCTTCACTTTTTCTGGCCTTGATTGTAACCAACTTCTTCAAAATACTGAGTACACTCTTTTAAATACAAAATTAATAATGGGGCAGTATTTATCTAATGACTCATAATATTTCCAGTAAGCATTAACCCTATTAATAGTGTATTTTATAGACATTACTTACCACTTGCTTGACAGTTTGAATTTTTACCATTTTATACCATGTGTTTTCAGTAGAATTCTGCCATATTATATAACCACAGGCAACCCAGGCTAAATGCCGAATTGGCTTCATTTCTGGAGGTATGTTTCCAAAACTGTCTGGTGACGGAAACATGATAGATGGAATTACTTTATAGATACAACATTACCTTTTACAAAATTTAAACTCTATATTTCCCCATGCCATATTTATATACCTGGAATATTTTGTGCTTCTAGTGGTTTCTTCATGGATTTGAGTTTTTGATAAAATGTGTTATCTTCTTCATCTGGGTTCTTTCCAATTTCTCCTTCAAATGTGAAGTTGACTTCTGGTGCAGTATCTTGTCCCATTGGGGGGTAAAGTACTTCAGCTGTGCAGTTCACTGTCACTTGCTGTTTGAGACATTTTGCAAAAGATCTTTACATGTAGGCAGCCATCCATTACTAACTATTGCTCCTTGAGATATGCTATTTAAAGCACTGGCCCCTAATGGTGGTGGTTCTGACTTGACTTCAGTGCCTGCTTCATACCGATCTAATTGGGCCTGGTCGTTTTCTCAGATGTATCTAAAACAGACAGCTTATTTTACAACTTGTGTGGTCTCATAATCTTTTAAATTAATCTTAAAACTTGGGATATATTTCAGTGTTAATGGGGTACCCATTCTCAAGGCCAGATTTTAGTCTCACTTTATATACCAACTCCAGACTCTGGTTACTTTTTAATTCTTTCCATTACTCTTACTCTCTGCTCAAGAAATAACAGTAATTTCTCAAACTCAGATACAGCTATCTGTATCTAGATGTAAAATGAAACAATGGTAACATTGGTTCTGCTTCACAAAGATGACTGTCTAGCAGCTCAGGTGCCTTTTAATGCATCTCCTTACTTTTACCTATATCTCTTCTGAATTATGCTCAACAAAAGGGCAAGCTTTTTTAAATTTCAAGATGGTTACAGTATAACTTGTAATTCCTTATTTTTGAGTTTGTCTCATTAATAACTCGACACATATAAAAATTTCCCTCCACCATTATTGAAAGATTCTTATCTGAACATGGTGATAATCAGCTAGCCATTCTATTGCTCATAAATTTTTAAAAACACTTGCTTTCTTTAAATAAAAGAAATCAAAGGCAGAATGAGAAAAGGGCAAAGTGATGATGACTGGGGAGTAATTTCTTTCACTTGTTAATAGAGTTCAGACTGCCCTATGAGCCTATGTTTACAAAGGGAGTTTATTTGAACTGAAATATAGAGTCTTTTAACCACTTAGAAGTATTTCATGTGTCTCAGAATACCCAAAGGAAGTAAAAACTGACCCTTGTATGGTCATCATTTTTTTCAAGGCAGAGTTTCACAACTTAAAAAATACAAATTAATCCTATGATTTGATCAGCAAAGGTGATCTGGAATATTTAAGAGTTAAATTTATTTAATAACAAAGGACATTTCACTTACTTTTTGGATAATTTCTTCCACAGAAAACTTAAGGCGATACTTATGTCCTCGTCCTGGAATATCCTAAAATTAAGAAAATGTGATGAGTTACTGTAACAGTAACTCAGTTCTCTGTGATGTTAGAAGAATCCATTCTCATTTCTTTGGAGAAGGGGGTGGCTAACTGGTGGGGATACATACCCTTGGGACCTTAAAAGCATACTGCCAGGTGTGCAGCATCTAACTTAGCAGGACTGTCAGGTTTATTTTGGATGAGAACACGGGGTGCGATAAAAGCATATGTAAATAAAATGGACTCCAATTCACTTTCAGTCAAAGGACTTCAGCCTCTGGGCCTGTGATACTAGATTCTGTAATAAGAAATTTTGAAAGAGCTTTTAATTCTAAAGAGGACAAATGGTCTACATCATTGAAAAAAAAATTTCAGAAAGCCCCGTGTAACCTCCAGAAAGTGTTCGGTGAAGGTGAATTCCATTCTGAGACAGATTACTGCAAAGTGAGTAGACATAATAAGTTCTCTTTTTATTTGTACAGTGGTAGACCTGAACATTGATAACTTTAACAGATTTTATAACAGTAAGACAAACATTCAGGTATTTCACTTTTGAATCAAGATACAATTGAGCATTTATACCTAATTATGTGATTTGGTTAACATATGCTCCCTGTCAGCTCTTTAGACTGTTGGCAGTTAAACTCATGTCAGATAAATAATGAACAGTCTCAAACCCATTAGATTTTAGTAAAATGGAAACAGGCTTAGTGATCGCTGAGGTCTTAAACATTTAATTTAAGCCCTAAACCACATAATTTATGGCAGTCGGCTGTGGTGGTGCTTTGGGGTGGCTAAAGTGAAGCTTCTGGCTCTGGCCACGCTGACTCTGGCTGTCAGTGTCTCTTGCTCTTTGTTGTCCCTTTCATTTTGGTCAAAGGGTCTGAGAAGGATTGGTCTTAAAATGAAGAATCCCGTTTGCAACACAGGAGCTCTTGGTTGTTCCAGATTGTGGAGTAGTAGATGAGAAATGTCATAGCAGTTTTAAGATTCTTTAGAATGGTTCCTACAGGTTTCACTCGGAGAGAGGGGAAAATGCTGCCTTTCGTTGGGAACATTTTCCCATTTCCTTGTAATAGTCCCCATAAAAAACTATCATGTCTCTGCCGTTCCTTGATCACAAACAGACCCGAGCTATCCCTGGAAATGTCCACCTCTCTAGACCTGGCAAGAGCAACAGTCAATCCCCAAACGGCTAGGGGCGGGGAGGTGGGAAGGTGGGGAGGTGGGGAGGGGGCAAACAGGGCCGGTGCCCTCACGCTGGACTCACCTCCATGCTGGCTTGTTGGACCGTCTGCACCAGAAACACCTTGTGGGGGGTCCCCTGCTGGTAGTTGATGCAGTTCTCCACCACCGAGGCCGCCCTGGAGGCGGGGTAGTGGGTCGGTGGGATTTCCATGCTCGGTGGCGGCAGCTGGGGGAGCACGGGGCCGCTCCAGAGCCTGCTGCAGCCTCACCGGACGCCACGAGTGCTCCGCCGGAGTCTGCTTGCCTCGCGGCTGCGGTGCTGGGTGGGGCGTGGGCGGGGTCGCGGCTCCTTTCCGCCCTCTCTTTCCTTCCTACCCGCCCCGCTGCGGCCCCGCCCGGCTCCGGCACTTTTACTCCCACCTTCCCGCAGGGCTAGAGAGCTGGAGAGCCACTGGGCCTGGCCTGGACGGGTCGGGTCGCAGTGTGGGCCGGGTTGATTAGCACTTCATCCTTCCTTTCATTAGCCCTCACAGGAGCGCGGGAGGGGCTTTTTGGCTTTTGCCCTTCTGGAGTGGCTCCTCTGGAGCCTCCAGTTTCCTCTCCGTGGAAGGCAGTTCGGTTGCTTCCCTTGCGGACTGGAGCGCAACTTCCTTATTCCCCACCCGGAGTGCCACACGCAGGACAAAGTGCAGAGAAGCAGCCGGTCGTACCTAGATTCCTCTTCCTTCCTAACTCCTCTTGTGAGGGTCCAGGAACAGACTTGCTCTCCCCCACTTTTTGTGGGGTTGGACAGTTCTGCTCAAATAGGATTTGTGAGACTGCAAACTATAGCATCGATTTGGAGGGTTATGTAATTTGAATCAGATTTTTAAAAATGCGCTTGCACCCGTCTCCTTTCACTTAGAAGGATGAGATTTTGGTATAGTACTATGCTTCCCACTTGCTCAGTCACTTTCAAAATTTAACTGTGGGGATTAAATACTTAAGAATGAATTTATACGGAGCCACTGTTTTTTAAGTTGCTTAATTTATCTGAGCAAGCCCAAACTTTTAGTAGGCAGTGCATTTTCGCTCTAGATTTCTTTATTACCTTCTTGGGTCACCTTTAAAGGAGCTACAACATAGGCTGTTCAGATTTTCTCTAGGTCCAGAAGCTAAGGCTTCTTTTCATCAGATATGTTGTCAAACCTTTGCTTTAGCTTGTTGGCTTAGAAATAAAGAATTTTTCCCCTTTTTATCAAACTGGGTTTTTGAAGATTTTCCTTTTTTTATTTCCTAGACATGTATTGTAGTAGTACTTTAAAAAGGTTAAAAATGTATAATAGTAAGAAGTAAGGCATTTCCCATACTTTCTAGTTATATTAGCCAACAACGGTGAAGTAACCAGAGGATGAAAGGGTTAGTTTCTCCTCGAGGCTCTTTCTAAAAAATTGAAGGTTGCTATTCTTTTGATGGGGAGGCCTATGAGTCATTCAGCCAAGCTCTTGGGGGGGGGGGGGGGGGGCGGGGTTTGGATTGTGTGCTCCTTTGAACGTGTCCAGGAGAGAGTTGGCTGTTAGTATCTCATGGTGCAGAAAGAGCTTTTTGCTGATAATGAATTTTAAAGTTTCACAAATAGCTAGTTAACATATATGTCATTACTAGAGTTGTTAGAAGTATAACATGTGCGCTTCCTAGATAAGGCCACCATTTGGAAGCTTTAAGAGTACAATTGCTATCTCTGTAGATCAAGGCTGATACTATACTAACCTATACTATATAGGTTAGGAAGTAGCAGGCATTTATTAAAAGTATACATACCAATTTAGGTTCTTTATAAAATGTAAGTACATTAAAAAATTTAACTGCCTATTTAAATGTTAAACTGCATTAAGAGAATCTCATTCCTGTATTTGAGTCCTTGAAATCTTACTAAAGCTTTATGGTTAGTCAAGAGATCATTGTCCTCAAATAATGTATGAGTTTTCTTGAAAGTAACAAAATTATTATTGGCCTCTGAGATCAGATAAATTATAACTTCATGTAACTATATAAACATAAAACTAAGAAGAAACATGTATGGCTTGCAACTTTGGTACAACTATAAAGTCAAATGAATCTACAGCATAGAGGTAAACAATAAAACCAATACAATTCTAATTAACATTAATTTTAATGTGAGAAGTGATGTTTTGCCAAAACTAAATTGCCTTTCACAGCATTTCAGTGATCTGACCACAGGAGCGTGGGCTCCTTCGCTTCCAGCATGCCTGTCCGCCTCCACGTCTTCTCCATTTAAACTACTGTAAAACCTAGTTGTGCAGCACCATCTCACAGCTTTGAAGTGAATGCATCATTTGCAGAATAAATTGGTTTATATGCTTATTAGCATTCTAGAAAAATGTTTGATTATGAGCTTTGGCTTCGGTGCAAACCCTGGCTGTGCCACGTAAGAGCTGTATCATGTTTGGCAGGTTACTTTCTCTTACCCTCAGATTTCTCATCTGTAAAATGGTGGTAAAAAATAATACCTACTTCATCAGTTTGTGGTATAGAACAAGTAAGACAACCCATAAAAAGTGCTTGGTACAAATCCGGCACAGCAGTGTTTTGTTATTTGGCATCCACTTGATTATAAATTGGAACATGGTCCCTGAACCTTCATGGATGACGACTGTCTGCGAGTTGCTCCTCCAGAGCAGTTCTGTCCAGTGGAACTCGGAGCAGGGATGGGCACGTGCTGTCTGTGCTCGCCTGTGCAGGAGCCGTTCTCCACGTTTGGCTGCTAACCACTTGAAATGTGACTAGTGCATCTGAGGCACTGAATTTTAAATGTGATTTAATTTCAATTAATTTAAATGTAAATATCAGTGGTTACTGATTGCCATATAGACAGCACAGTTCTAGAGTATGTTGCATAGATGTTATATTTTTGTCAAATCGAAAACAATTTAAAATGTCTCAAAAGCTCGTGCGTACCTGACCATACGTCAGCGAACCAGTTTTGGAATCCCTTCAGTGATTCTGTGGTGATTTGGCACAGAAATCTTCTGCTTTCCTTCTCTTTGTTCTGATGACTTCATCCCTCCCAGGAAAATTAACCTTTCAGCATTTTGTTTTTCCCAGCCCATCCTGAAGCTCTTGACTGCTGGAAGATTACTTAAGGGGATTTCATCAGGCACATTCACACTCAGACTCTTTATGAAAGAGCCTAAATGGCAAAATGATAATGACTAAATATAAATCATTCAAATAGACACATATATAGACACAGTTCAGTGTTTACTTCCAATCATTTTTCCAAAGCTGGTGGAAGAGCTCCTTTTAAAATTGTCTGCGGATAACTGCAGATAAATGGACATTAATGAGTGTGTGTTCCGGCCCCCGTACCCAGAGTGGTTTGGAAGAAGTATATATCAATTTTGGTAGGAGATGCTACTTAGGTCTCTTTTACCTTATGGTCTTGAGGAAGTTTCATTTTAAAGGAAGAAATGCCTTGGCAAACAGTAGATACTCATGAAATGTTTTTTTCAATGAAATAGCCTATGTTTACATATGCTTAATATGTATGTAAAATGCTCAACCTGTTCTATTTATGTTACCATTGGTGATTGGAAGTAAATACTGAACTGTGTCTATATATGTGTCTGTTTGAATGACTTATATTTAGTCATCATCATTTTGCCATTAATCATTGTAGGGTGTTAATTATTCCACCTGAAACTCCCCTCTCATATTGCCTCTGTCCATGATGTCCATGGTAGTAAAGTTAGGGAGTAGCTCTGAATAAATTACCTGCAGAGATCTCATTTTCAAATAACGGTCCTCAGTTGTAAAGACTTAAGGAGAGAGCACTCTCCTGGGAAAGGGAGGCATTCAAAAGAAATGGGTAAGCTCTTTGGAATGTAGGTTACTGGGACAAGAATCTTAGACTTTTATTTTATTAATAATCACTTGACTTCTTCTTTTCTACTTGGGAAATAAATTCAGAATTGGCAGAATTGAGGCCATGGATTATTTTGGTGGTATACCCTACCCTCATCTCTTAGTACAAACAGAAAGGAGAGAATTCCTTTTAAAGTAAATTCTACACTAAAATTTTATAGTAAGACCATCATATTCAAAGAAAAAGTAAAAATAATGAAATGTGGTTTTTCATTTAAATTAGTAGGAGTGATTTCATTTTGGTAATTACATAATGCTATGTTGATTTTTTTTTTTTTTTCCTCCTAAATTACTTTCAGGTTTGAGTTTACACATAAAAAACAATCAGGTGGTGCAGGCCAGTTTGGAAAAGTGATAGGTGTCCTGGAGCCCCTGGACCCAGAGAACTACACTAAGCTGGAGTTTTCAGATGAAACTTTCGGGTCAAATGTTCCAAAGCAATTTGTGCCTGCTGTAGAAAAGGTAAAAAAAATGTATACATAATACATTTTGCAAAATCAAAAACAGTTTTTTAGGTGGTGTCAAATCACATTTCTATCACATTGCCTTCCATGGTTCATTTTAGTTACAGTGCCGCTTCTTTATATAACTGTTAAGCTTTCCATCCAATTAAGAATCTTCAGTTCGGTAAGCTCAAAAGCTGTAAATACATAGTATGACAATGAAGGGAAATCATTCTGTTCTTAATCATGGCTATTTCTCTTGGTAAATTGATGAAGTTATGTATTTATCTAATCCATTGATTTCACTCAGCAATTAAAATTTGAAGTAGTCATTAGGGATTTATGAAGATTTTAGGTGACTATTGTAGTAGAATGCTCATTAATTAAGAATCCCAACACCTGAGTGCTGCTGTCAAATCTGCTACTGGTTTATGTGCTCTGTGGTAACTCACAGTGTTCAGAGCCGGCTTCTTTATGTGTAAAGTGGGAGTAAAATTACTTAAACCAGAGCCCCTCACAAAACAGGGTTAGAGAAGACTGACTTTCCTTTGGGAATTGTGAAGTGCTTTTGCATATGTAAGTGGTTAGTGTTTTGTCTGTTTCCTAGATCACTGGCTTTAAGACTTTTGTAAACTTTTAGCAGCTTTTTATAGATTGAAAGACCTATTTAGTTGTTTTTTTAACCTTTTAACTTACAAATCTTTATTAGTGGATTATAATTTTGGTTTCAGTGGTGACAGCATTTCTTGCAATTGGTGTATTTTATTGATTGTACTTTATTTCAAGACAGTATCTTGTCAATATCTTCTATTCTCCAAAATTAGATAGAGGCTGTAGCTGAGAGCTTAGATTTTTTTTTTTTTTTTTTTTAACGTACAATGTTTATCGTTTTGAAATAACAGAAATATATTGTGGTATATGTGCAGTCATGTGATTATTTTGCCAAGAAAAATGAACTTGAATTGTTAAAAACTCTACAGATATATGTTAAGTAACTCGATGAAAAAGCACTGCGAACTTATCAAATTGTACTCTTTAAGTATGAATAATTTATTGTGTATCATTTATACCTCAATGAAGCTATTTTTTAAAAAGAATTGCATTTGGAAAAAGTACCTCTTCATTTTAGTTTTCTAACTGTGTAACACTAAAGCTATAATGTAGTGATCTGTTGCTAGGGAAAGAGTGTTGGGTATATAGTAGGAGCTCAAGACACAGCTGTTTTGGTAGGGGTTTTCTTTTAGGGAGTTGTTTAGATTTGACTTCCCCCTGTTTCCTGCCTGTGAAATTAATATCATGCTGTCTCTATCGTGGGTTATGAGTCTTACGTAATTCCTGAAGATGAGGTTTTTGGAAAGTGATTGTTATTCTCAGCATCACTTTCAAACCAGCTCACACGTTTAACTAATATCCTTTTCCAAGGCATTACTCATCCAGATGCCACAATAAATAAAACAGTAAGGCTGTTCAACTTTTAAAACTTTTTTTGAGGAGTGAAATATAGCAAACATAAAAATGTTAAACATCTGAATACCGAAATGTTTGCAGGTTCTTGGTAAGGCAACTGCAAGTCAAATCCACTCACTCCAGAAATGGTGTTCATTCACTAACAGGGGTTTTTGGATGCCTGCGAGAAGGGCCCTCTGTCTGGTCACAAACTCTCTGGGCTCCGGTTTGTTCTGCAAGATGGAGCACATCACATGGTTGATTCCAATGAAATCTCTTTCATCCGCGCAGGAGAAGGTGCTCTCAAACAAGGTATGCTGTGTCCTAGCGCAGGCCACATCACTGTGACCATTTTCCCTGGGCCGTTTTGGCCTTCCCTCCCGAGCACTGGGTGGCACACCAGGGAACGTGGCTCGTCCTGTGCCAATATTCATAGAAGCGAAGGGAAGGCAAACTATTCTGTTCTCTTTCTTGTAAAATTAAGAGCCTATCCTTTTCTAAATTATTTGTTAATTTTTATGTATTTAAAATCATAAATAATCTGTAAGTTCTGTTTTTAATAGGAAAGACAAATGCTCAGAATTCCAAGAAATATTTCAAAGAAACATTACTACAGTCATTCTTTTTTTTGCGATTTATTCAGATGTCAGGAAATCCATAAATTTATAAGTAATTTTTCATGTAGGATATTGAAAGCTTTTAGGCTTTGAGAATGGCAAAGTATTTTGAAAGAATTTAGTAAACCATAGTCACAGTGCGGACTTCTTGCTGAACTGCTAAAATTGTCAGCCTCTTTCACACAGAATGATATGTATATTAAAAACCCTTATGGAACAGAGCCCTAAGCCACTGCAAACATATCTGGTTCATTGCTTTTAAGAGAGGAAACAAATGACACTGCAGCAGTTTGACATCAGGGTTATTTAACAAAAGAACTTCAAAGCGGTGTGCTGCATCCAGAAAGCTCATTCTCTCTGTCATCTTTTCCATATCTGTTGTATGTTAATTTGTAAGTATCTTTAGTGGTGTCTGTAAATGTCTTCAGGAGAATTATACCATGATTCACAAAACATTTCAGAAATGTTTTCAACATTTCATTTCAAAATAGACAGTAGAAAATTAGATTAATCAACACATTTTAAAGCATTCTGTAAATCAGGATTTTATTGAGCCTGTATGAATTTTGGACTTTACGTTGTTTTTGGTCTGTTTGCATCTGTGATCAGGTGGGGGCAATGGTTGGAAAAGGTTGTCCATAACTTAACCAGTTTGCCAATTCCTTATTTTACTGAAACTAATGGGAGACATTAGTAATTTCTGTTCTTGTTTCTCAGCTGGGAAAGGGAGAGAGTATCCTCCATTGGCTTTGTGCCAACTGTCTATTAAAAATGCAGTTGAGCTCTGGCCAGGTGGTTCATTTGGCTGGAGCATGTCCCGTACACCAGAAGGTTGTGGGTTTGATCCCCAGTTGTGGCGCATACAGCAGTTGGCCAATCGGTGTTGTTTTCTCTCCTCTCTCTAAAATCAATATGCATATTTTAAAAATGCAGTTGAAATCTATGATCTAGAAATCCTGTCACAATCTGAAGATTACGTTAATAGGAAAACAGGGAAATAAAGTCACAAAGATAGACTTTATTATGCGCTATTGAGATTAAAACACCTGTCCCTTTTCCTCCAAGTGTTAAGATCCGCTGGGATCTTAAACTGACACATTAGTTGTCATCACTTCATATTCTTTTCTTTTCAGAAAGGAAACCTTTTTGGTGTAGAGGATGACACTTGAATAAAAATGTTTATTGGAGTGTAATTGACAAAATTGTAAGATATTTAAAGTTTACAATGTGATGATTTTGGTTAATGTATACATAGTGATACTTTTTAAAAATACAGTTAAAACAAATTAGAAATCACCAATACTTCAGTGCTGGTTCTCAAGTGGAAATTGGTAGCTTTCCTGGAGATAGAGATTAGAGGTTACATAAAGCAAGAGAATTGGTATGGTTATCAATTAACAAAGAGTCACCTTTTTTATTGTTCCTAGATGAAATATAAGTAAATATAGATGTATCTGCTTATAATATACACATAAGCATCCATGAGAAAAATCTGTATATGTATGAATATTAACTAATCAGTTCAAAAAGTACCATTTAATTTTTAATTATTTAAGTCTATAAATATTATTAAGTATGATTAATTGCCTGTTTGGCCTGCAAAGGAAAAGCACTAGATGATGATTGAATTAAGAAGTTTGGGGGATTTTTTTTGCTAGGTAAAAAAGTGCAAATAAGAATAGTGCTAGCACGAAAAATGAATTACTTTGTTGTTTCTCCATCTAATTCTTATTTTTCCATGAACAAAAGACAGAAATAGAAAGGGTAAAGAAAATTTTTGCCAAGCTCAGTAAGAAAATCATCTTTTAAGCATACCTCTCCACTGAATGCCATATGAGAATTTTAGGGTGGAAATACTGATGAATGAGCTTAGTATTAAAATAGCTTGTACTTATCAGCTGTTCTCTAATACCAAAATTGGAAGAAAAATAGTTTTAAGTTTCCATGTGTTTTTTTTCTTTTTAATCCTCACCTGAGGATATGTTTATTGATTTTAGAGAGAGAGGAAGGAGAAGAGAGAGAGGGAATTAGAGAGAGAGAGACATCGATGCGTTACCTCTCATATGTGCCCCGACCAGGGATTGAACCCTCAAGTTTTTTGGTGTAGAGGACAACACTTCAATAAATTGGGCCACCTGGCCAGGGCCCCAGTTTTTAATTAAAAAAATGAAAACTGAAACTGTTTTCAGTCACTAAACTCTGACCCTAAGAGTAATCAGTGATGTAACTGAAACTGAAAGGTGCAATTGAATGTTTGTTATGGGCACGTTCTACCTTCTGGATGTGACCTTGCCATCACTTTCTAGGACCAAATTGGAGAAAGAGCGCTATGCTTGGTCTCCCAGAAACACTGAGCGTGTAGCCACTCCACAGGAGAAGTAAAGGCCCACCCAGAGTCATGATTAGCTCATTTAACTCAGCAGGGCCCCCTTTTTGATCTCCTGCTCGATTCTTGTCAGGCTTAGAGTTTGAATCCTGGTTCCGCTACTTCATACTTACAGCACGGAAATGGGCAAGTCATTGGGACCTTTTTGTTGTTTTTTAATTGTTGAAAATTTTATTAACATTCAGTTTCAAAAGCTTTACACCTGTGGGGGCACCAAGACAGAGAGGGCTGTTGCTTCTTAAAGAAGTTACCCTTTAGGGTTTGGTCCTTGGTTTGGAAGTTGTAACTTGGGTTTTTTGTTTGTTTGTTTGTTAACTGCCTCAGGAATTCATGAGCTTGGTGCAGAGTTGGTGATATGGCATATTCTCCTTTCTCACAAAAGTGTTTCTGGATAATGTTTAAAGCAGTGTCACGGCAACGTGACGCTTCTCATAAAACTGCCAAGCCTTGGTTCTAACCATTAGTCCCACCGAGTTCTTCCAGCACGTTTTCCTCCTCAGAACAGCTTCCCTGCTGCCTGGGGAAGAGGAGCAATGGCAGCGAGGGTGATGCTTGGCGGGAGGAATTTCACAACGTTAAATGGGAATGCACTTGAAGACACTCGCACAGACACCTCTGAGCGTAGTAAATGCTAATCTCGCTTCCCTTCCTGCTCCCTTTGACCTGGCACTGCACTGCGCCGTGTCACCCATCCCTCGGCCATTGGTCTCAGAGTGGTCATAATGGCATTCATACGCTGGGCTGAGGACTTGGATTATCGTATCTTACCTTCACAGTGACCTTACAGTTAAGACAATTTGGACTCAGAATAGTTAATCTAATGGCTCAAAGTTGCATGCTGGTTAGTGGAGGAGCTGAGAGTTGCACTCAGACCAAAGCCCTGGCCCTTGACCACCTCCTCACGCAGTGTTCAGCGCCCAGCCTGGTATGTCAGCATTGTTCCCAGGGGGCTGACCAGCTGTACCCACCGCTTCAGGTGTAAAAGGTCCGACCTGCGATGATGTTGATATTTTTACTTTCTACCTTAAAAAACAATAGACCACGTGGATCTGCTTGAGGAAAAACTGTTTATAGGCCTTGATTGTCATCTGACTTGAAAATGGCAGGGTAAATTAGTTCCGCAGTCTTGGCGCATGGAATAGGGTTAGAGGAAGGCGTGAGCAGTATCAAGGCTCTTAGGAAGTGAGTCAGAAGGTAGATTTAGGAAAACGAGGAAGTTGAAAGGAAAGGAGCAGGATGAGGGAATATGAAACAACTGAACAGGCTGTTCTCAACTATTGAGTGATGCGTACTGTGTACTTGGTCCCTTTCCCTTTAAAATGACCCTTTCACAATCTAGCTCTTTTATATTACTGACCAGTTAAAAACACTACATAGCATGTAACTAAATCTTACTATATCTCCTCTACTGAGGTCTCTCTTATTTAGAGCCAAGGAGGCTCTGCTGTTGTGGTAACCCACTAAGTAACAATACAGAGAGCTGTTTCCACAGTCTAGAATTGTTGGTCTGCTGCTTTAGATGTCTGTGCAGACTTCTGCAGGGCTTAGCTAAGGAAGCTTGGCTTCTACAGTGTTCAGTTAGTCCTCTTTTCAGAGCAGAATTCACTAATTAGGACTAATTAGTCAAAGGAAGGTCTGATGTAGGACATGATTTGAGTTACAAAATATTTTGAAGAAATGCAAGTATATTAAATTGCTCTTATAATAATTATTGCACTTAAGCTAATAGTGTCTTTAGAAGTGTTTTAATGAATATACAAGAATAATTATGAATTAGTGTATTATAGACAAATTGATGTTTGGGAAATCATAGTTATTTTAAAATGAATGATTTTGTCATCTTTTCTGTGTTTTGCTTCAAGTCTTTATGTAGAGATAATTCTCCCAGCCTGAAGCTGAAGTATTATTTCACACTATCATAACATTCAAATTAAGTATGAGTGTTTGAAGTTTTATTATATTCTCCACATTGTTACATTTGAATCTTAATCAGCATGTGTCACAATAAGTAGTATTCTGTTTATGTATTAAGTGGGATTAAAAAAAACAAACATGGACATACACATTGGGTTTTAGTGCTTAAATGGTCCTTAATATATAGTCCGATGCCTTTTTTTAAAGATTTTATTCTTGCCCTGGCTGGTGTGGCTCAGTGGATTGAGCACCGGCCTGGCAACCAAAGGGTCATCCATTCAATTCCCAGTCTGGACACATGCCTGGCTTGCAGGCCAGGTCCCCAATTGAGGGTGCCTAAGAGGCAACCGTCCATTCATGTTTCTTGCCCTCTCTTTCCCCCTCCCTTCCAACTCTGTCTAAAAATAAATAAAGATTTTATTCTTTATTTTTATTTTTTATTTTTTGAGAGGAGAAGGGAGGGAGAAAGAGAGGGAGGCAAATATCAATGTGAGAGAAAACCATCAATCAGTTGGTTCTTACGTGCCCAGACCAGGCACCAAACCTGCAACCCAGGCATGTGCTCTGACTGGGAATCAAACCAGTGACCTTTCACTTTGCAGGACAATGCCCAACCAACTGAGCCACACCAGTCAGGACCAATGTCTCTTAATTTTTAAGTGAAGAAACTTAAGACGTGGACAGATTCTGTTTTCCAAAAGGCATATAGCTTATTAGAGGCAGAGTAGAAACTAGGAACTTGGTTTCCTAATTCTTAACCAGACGTTGAAATGGTTCAACCTAGAAGAGGAAAGATGGATCTCAGACATGACTTGATTATTGTCTCCAAGTACGCAAAGGGTACCCTCCTCCCTGCTCGCACCTCTGATAGAAGTTGTTTTTGTATAGTTAAAAATAATTGTCTGCCAGGGACCAACAAGAAAGAATTGTCAGAGAAAAGAATAAGTAACTATCAACTGCATAATTTAAATGGTAAAGGATTGGACTGAAAGTGATTTTAAGACTCTTTATATTATCTTCTGCAGCTTAGTGATTTTTAGTGATAAAATTATAGTAATGGAAATACTAATAATAAAACTAAGTTCTGTCTTTTTGAAATTTCCATTTTGAAGAATGGCTGTTATTGCTACAGAAAAATGAGTCCAGAGTAAATAGTTTAACCTCTTCATTTGTGTGTGTACCTTTGGGAGAATACCTTCTACCCTTTTTTATATCTGGATAGAGAAGTGTTCCAGTTTGTTTAAAGATTCGTAAACTATTTATTTATTTTTTAATCCAGCCTTGGCAAATGCAACATTATGTATTCTTGAACCCATTATGTCTGTGGAAGTGATGGCCCCCAATGAATTTCAGGGACCGGTGATTGCAGGGATTAACCGGCGCCACGGGGTGATCACGGGACAGGATGGGGTTGAGGACTATTTTACATTGTACGCAGAGGTAAGCGCTGTCGGTTACTGCCAGTCTTGTTTTCATTAAACACAGCCGGAAATTAGAGTTAGCCTTTGTTTTGGGAGCTTGCAAAGCAAACTGACAGATTTTCCAGGCAATTTGGGTATTGAATCTGTGGCTTATAGATAGGTAGCAATTTCTATAATTTACTGTTAGAGCAACTCTTAAATGCAAAAGCTAAAAATAAGAATCATTTTATGTAGGCCTTTTGTGAATATATCATTTTCTTAGATAATTACTTATCTTTCTCGTTGCAGCTTTGTTTGCATAGCTTCTTTATTATGTTATCTCCAATTTATTGGGATAATATTTCATTTCCTTACCTGTACCTTACTTGACTTAAATCTCGAAAGAGACAGTAAATTATCACATTTGGTAAGGCTTCGTAGAAGACACTGCTCTCAGCACATCGTTACGGTGTCCAAGGAAAGGCATGTTATGTTAACATTTCCACAGAAGAAACATGTCTGAGCACCGAGCTCGGCCAGAGAGCGGAGTAGGGGCGAGGAGGGCAGGCTGTCAGTGAGGTCTGCTCTGGGAAGTAGAGACATTTGCTTTCCAGTTGTGATGTCAAATGAAGTTCTTTTCAAATAGAGTTTCTACTTGCAGTAAAACGAAATTATGTTTCTCTTTGGCTTTTAGTTCTTTTAAATCAAGAGTTGTTAGTAGCAACCTAACTCTAAAGGACTCAAATGGCTAAGGCTTCTCTGTACTTTTCTCAAATGCGTTTCACTGCTAAAGTATCTGCTGTGTTTGTTTCCAGGTCCCTCTAAATGATATGTTTGGTTATTCCACTGAACTTAGGTCATGCACAGAGGTAAGCATGTATTTAAGTTTTCCTTCAGCTTCCTCTAAGAGGCTGTCCTACAAAATGGTCAAATTTGCGAAATCTTGTCTTTGCATGATTTTGCTTGATAGTTATAAAAATTTGTTTTTAATCTCTGCTTTTTTTTTTTTTTTTTTTCCCTTAACTCCCAGGGGAAGGGAGAGTACACGATGGAGTACTGCAGATATCAGCCATGTTCGCCATCCACACAAGAGGACCTCATTAATAAGTATTTGGAAGCTACGGGTCAACTTCCTGTAAAAAAAGGAAAAGCCAAGAACTGACCTATCTCACATTGACTAACTGGAACTGAATTTGCAGGGTTTAAATATTTTAATGGCTTCCAGTGGAATGAATTCAGGCAGAAACAAGGAATTTTAGAAGCCCTTTGTCTTTTATTCAGAAGCTCTTATCATATCAAAGTTAATTCTATGTATGTCTCAACTCTGTTGACTGGTTTTATAGTTCACTGGAAAACCTTAAATAAAATGTGATTATTACCAAAGTATATTAATATTTATTTTAAGGGGGAAGAGACATATTAGTTATACTTCTAAGCTTAGAATGTGTATAACGTTCCTTTCAAAATTTTTATCATAGAATTTTTAACACAGAAAAGCTGAAAGGACAGTACAAAGAATAGCCATATACCTTCCATCTAGTGTCAGCAATGAACAACTTTGTTAAGAATTTGTTATTCAAATAATTTATAATAATTGTTTTATGTGTTTGATGTCTATGTCTCATGCTTTTATATTTTTAATTTTTAAAAAATTATTGTTTTGCTAAACACTTGAAAGTGAATTTTATATATCTTGACCCTTCTTGGAGTGTCATCCTTTAATAAGCAGGCTTTTTTGTTTAAGAGCAGATTCCCTATGATCGTAATAGAGAATGTTTTCCAGATTCTTCATTGGGATATTCACATGCCAGCTAAATTTCTAGCTGTTTTATGTAGAGCTGATTGCTTCATCCTGTGGGTTCTGCAAATTTGTAGCTGTCGCCTTTTAGGAGTATAAATATTACCTTCTGGAGGACCTGCGATGTGAAAACAGACCCATCCTTGCATGCGCAGTTGTTTATGTTCATCTTAAGGTTCCTGCAGCTCTAAATAATAAACTATAATTTTCAGAGTTCCTGCCTAGTCAGTTCCATTCATCTACTAAATGCTGTTTGAATTTGAGTCTGTTGGGACTCATCATATTGTATTCATTGAGGATGTCAAAGAACAAATACCAAGCTTTTGTTTTTGGCATAAGCCGGACGTCCCCAGCAGTTCCACTGTGTTGTTCACAAGTGCTTCATCCAAAACTCAGCTCATGTGACAGACGTATCCAAATTCCTTCCTTTGGTGAATAATAGAAATAACTTATAAATTGCTTTTTCTCGATTTGTAGATTTGGCTTTATAACATACAGTTTCTAGAAAAAAGGTTTTTAAAAAGTATTGAGCACATGTTTTCAAGGCATTTGCTAAATGCTTTCAATGCATTATCTAATTTAGTTTTCACTCCCCTATGAAAGTAGGTACTATTGTGTCCATTTTGTAATAGAGGAAGTGAAAGCACAGAGAAGATAAATCACTTGTCCAAAACTATGCAGCGTGTTTAGTTTTCAATTGATGATTTAAATTGATTGATTATCATTACAAATGCATTTTCCACATGAATATGTCTCTGTCTACAATACTGTCAAGCCTGAAAAATGTTGCACTGGCACTTTGTCGGCATCTCATGGTATTCAGAGTCACTTAGAATATTGTCCTGATGCAGAACTACTTTCATAGAACGCAGCACAATTCCTCTGGCTGTTGCCAGCAGTCAGGAAAAGTAGAACTAAGATGGATAAATGTTGATGTTTTTAGCTTGTTAAACATTCTGGCTATAAAGATCCAGTGCCAGAAAAGAGCGTAGTTACCTAGTCCAACACCAGCATTTCACGGACAACAACATGGGCCAGCTGGTGGGAGTAACTAGAATGGGATCATAAAGGGGCAGATCCAGGACCAGAACCCACATGTCTTGCTAACTTCCTAGTTTGGTTATAGTGAGTAAAAACCACATACCGGCCAAAGTCTGTAGCAAGAAAGAAATTAATGAGGATAAATGAGTTTTAATACTACTGTTGTGAAGGATAATTGTTGACTCATTTAAAGAAAGATAGTATTGTTTGTGTTGGAGAATGGTTGCAGCACAAGCAGTAGCATCCTGATTCCCATTCCAGGCTACACTTTGAAAACCACCAGGGGACCTTTGGAAGAAGCACCAGGCCAACCCCTAGACAGTCTGACTCTCTGCACCAAGATCAAAAGTTTCCCAAGTGATGGTAACATCCAGGTAAGGTTAAAGACCACTGTGGTGTCTGCACCTTCAAGACCTGAAACAGATTCTTCTGTGTGATGGTAGTATTTGGGCAAGTGGGTCTCAGTGTGATAACTTTACCTTTAAAGAAATCAATCAGTTTTCTGTTATCATTTTCCTCCTTGCTCCCTCTCAGATTGTTTAGCTGTAAAATCACTGGAATTTAATCAATTCTGAAGTTTTAGTTTAACAGTTTTGAAATATGGATGAGTCTCAAAATTGATGCCAATAAAATTAGATGGCTACCGGGTAGTAGTAAATTTTGATATGAAGGAATACATTTCTTTGTAGAAGGCAGCTATTTGCATTGCTAAAACTATGAATTGTTGAATTAAAGCTTTAATTGCTGCTTAAGGTATCTCAACACTGGGATGTATCATTGAAATAGTTAATTGTGTTCAAGTCGATTTATTGTGAGCATTCATTCAAACAAGTGCCAGGCAGCATTAGGTGCTATAGCATTTGGAAAGCCAGAAAAGGTTGGAACAGGATCTAAGCTGAGAAAAATGGGTATAATAAACTCATGTCATGCAGAGCTATCACTTAAAGGCAAATATAGAAACTTTCAACTGACTTTCAAAAGAACTTCTAACAATTCATAATTCAGGTAGGATAAAAACGACACTATGAGTAGAATCAAACGGAATGTAGACAAAATCCCGGTACTGCTGGGTATGGCTTAAAATTCTGAAAGAGGCCGGGTAAATGAACGCGATGCTTGTATGTAACTGTCATTGGTGCAGAGTGATTTAGAAGAATTTAGACGTCATGAAAAGAGGTCTTAGAGAATTTAGGATTTTTCATGTTATATCAAAGCAGATGGAAGTAATTTTTCTATGCTCTAAGCTAGCAAAATATTAGTAAAATCAAATCAGCAATTTCAGAATTTGTGTGCAGAAATGTTCTGACAGTGATGTTGAGAAATTTTTAGTAGGTTTAACTTTTGCGGGTTTTGTAAATTTATAAATTAAGTAATTGTGTATGTATGTCGTCTGTGTGTGTAGAATTCCCCTTCGTTATCTCTTAGACTGAATAAATCTGCTACAGGGTCAACTTAGAGTCCTTTGATGAATGAATTATGGTAATACATGAGTCTAACCTCACTAATTAAAAACGCCTTTATAAGGATGAGGTGAGATTTTTGGGAAACTGAAACCCCTCTCTAGCACAATGTGACACGGCAAGAGTGCTTGAAGGTCAGAGGACATTGAATTTGCCATTACAATGTCCTTGGCACCTTCTCTGAAGATTTTTTAGGGGACTTCAGTTAGAGGAGTTCATCCTTTTGTTTTGGTATGGTTTCGTCATTGTAGATCGATATTTTAGAAAAGGCATTTTCTCTGCATTATGACACAGATGGGAGGTCTGATGTTTTCTTCAAATGATTGTTCCCAGCGCTTCGTGTTGCGGTTTCAAATATAAAAATATATAAACTAGATCCAAAAAGCTGCAGTGTCATCCATCTTTTATTTTTTAAGACTCCATGTCTTCAAATTTTTTCTCATCTGTGTAAACTTTTCCAATTTTATAATGGTGCTGACTTAATATTTTGGTATATTTTAAGGCTAATGCTTCCTAACCAATTACTAGCCAAGGAATCTGGCTAAAGGTTTTTACACAGAGATGTGAGTGTTCCATTAAATGATAACTAATTTTGAGAGGTGAATGATGGCCACGTTTCCTGGATCAGTTCTGCGTGCCCTGGGGAGCACTCCACTGGGTCGGATCAGGGTGCATATTGTGTCTGCTCTTGGAAATTACATAGGCCAACACTGGGTCCAAGTTGTCCTTAAAAATGAAAATTCTATATACTTGATAAATGGGTTGGCCAAAAGGTCTGTTTAGTTTTTTCTGCAAAATAAAAGACACATTTTTAATTTTCACCAATAACTCCATTGATTAGAATATTTGGAGTATGTTGGCTATCTCCCTCATGGTATAACATTGACTGTTCTTAATGTCTCGATTCAATCGCTACCAACTTCAGCTGGTCTGCCCCGACCATGGAGCATTGTTCAGCGAGAAATCTCCAGCACAAAACTTCACAAACTGCTTTTGACATGTTCAATCAGCCACAGCACCTTTTCCATACAGTGCACAAATCTTTTCTTGTGTTTCAGTTGCATTTTTACCTTTCTTGAAATAATAATGCATAATATGCAAAAAATGTCGCTTATTTTCTTCCATCTTTAATATTAAAATGGCTACACAAAAATTCACCAGTTTTGGTAAGTTTTTTTTTTAAATGCACACTGATATGACAGCTGTCACAATAAATCTAACAAAATTGTTTCAAATGAAGTTAAAGACAACCAAACACTACTAAAGCCATCTTATGGGAAAAAAACCCAAACAAATGTTTTGGCCAACCCAATACTTTCAGTTACATCACTGTTCCATTTAATACATGTTTGTGGACTCACGGCTTTATCTGTGAGACCCTATATTTTTATTTGTAAGATATGAATTAAACAATACGAAGAGTTCATTTAATTACACATTAACACAAAATTTGCCTACATGGACAAACCTCTACACATTTAACACAGTTTATTTAGAAATGTAAGCCTTTATTTAAAAGCTATCAAGTTATAAGAATACTTTGCTTGAAATCATAAGAAGTAGTAAAATTCCTTTTAAACATACAACACTTTTCCTACAATTTGCATTCATTGAAATACATTTATTATCTTTTAAAAAATCTCAGCATCTTTTCACTTTTGAGCATCACAGGCTTTCCTGAATTATTGGAAAGCCTTATACCTTAGCTATTTTACTAGAATAATGATTTAGGCTATTTAGCACAGTCATTTTGGGATTCTAAAATTTTGGGATAAGCAGATTTTTTTTTCAGAAATTACTGAGTTCTGTTGGCGCCACCGCAGATCCTTCCTCAGTTCCAGAGGCTTCTTCTGGTGCCTGAAGCCCCTGACAGTGGTACTTCACCTTGAGGGGCTTGCCAGGGTACCAGACCAAGTGAATACGACAGGGGATGATTTCCTAGGAAATAAGAGTTCTAAAATATTATGGTCTGTAAAAATCTCTGGTAAAAACAATTCTATATATAATTTTGTGTTTTACCTGTGTTGAGAATTCATGGAGCAGAACAGTATAATCAAAGTCAATCGCATTATCATCTGTTTTCTAGAGGAAGGAAAAAAAGAGGGTAATAAATAGGCAGGTTTATATTGCTCAGAATTTGGAAGGCTTATTTGGAAGGCATGGATGCCTTGAATCTCCTGCTTCTTGGAGTTTAGTCTCATTCCCCTTTGAAGGATCTTACATCAAGATATGGAAGTCATAGATTCTTCCTGTTTGGTCATTGAGTTATATGAAAATCAAGTTCAATGTCTTTCTATCAGTTTTTCTCTAATACGGGTTTTGATGGAGGCTAAGGTCCATGGGAATAAGGAGAATCCTTTGACAGCCTTGGGAATCTTGATGCTGTATATGTAGTTCAAGCTGATATGTTAGTCTTGATATGCTAGGCAATAAGGCAAGGGGCAGGGCAGCCAGCACTTTCAGGGTGCCACGTGGGCCAGGTTCTGTGCTGGGCTCTGTATTCACGTTTTCATGTAATTCTGGCTGCCTTACAAGGGTGTGTATCGTGAGCCTGGTTTTATAGGGGCGGTAACTCGAGGTTATAGCTAGTAAGTGATAAATGGGGGTTAAACCCAGACCTACTGACCCCTCCCCCCACATGCGTCACGCTTTGCCGCACTGCCTCCAAACCCCAGGCCCTGTGTGTCTGTCTACAGGGAGGTGGGCAGTCTTCTTCACGCTCTCAGTTGCTGGTTTCTGTAAGTTTTACTACTGACTAAACCAATTTCCTAATTTTTTTGACACTTCCTGGGGTTTTTTTTTTTTCCAGGATGAGGGGGGTTTAGTGTGCTTATTTCGTTCTCTTTCTAGTAAAAATGGAAAAGAAATAAAAAAGTAAATTCAACTTGGGTTATATTTCTTATCTACCAGGCTTTTATTGAGACTATCACAGAATATAAAAACATAAAGGCAAACAAAAGGACTTGATATTAGGCTTTGCTTAAAATGGAGATTTTTACAAGCCATGAAATTTCGAGCCGGCCAGGAGGATGCTGGAGGGAGAGGATACAAGAGGGGCCTGGACTGGTCCGAAATTAACTGCTTTTCTATAGTGTCGGTGCATTGTTAGGTAGGTTTCCCTCCCGCCGCCTGGCAGCGTGCCTGTGAATGCTCAAAGCAAGTATCCGAGGCACAAGCTGCAAAGTCAGAGGACTTATGAGAGAAAATTTGGTGTCTCTTTGATAAAGAAACAGCTTCTGGAGGCCCCAGGGGTCGATCGGGCATTGCTGGGTTGGAGGGTGTATTGAGCCTCACTCGGCGACTACCTTGACTGGGAAGGAAGTGTTACCTAAAATGCCTGCCCTAGCAGGCAGCTGTGTCACCTGAGTTTGCTCTCAAGCTTTTGTGCTGCCTGCACTATTTCTCAAGGCCTAGCAACCATGTCTTTTTCTGTAATTAAAAAGCTGGTTTTACTTAGAAACTTAAAGGGTTTGTTAGGTCAATGCCTTCTTATTCTGTTTTCTGAAAATTGCATTTCTGAAAGAAATTACAGCAGTCTAGATTTTTGGCAAAAAAAAAAAAAAAAGGCAAGGCTGGAAATAAACGATGGGATTCCAACTGCATTTGACAAACTCTTCTGCTAAATACAGGGTTTCCCATTTTTAATACAAAAACTTGGATTATTGTAATGCTTAGAAGCCCTCTACCTCTTAATGAAGACCTTCCTCAGTAAAGTTATTGAAACTTGCATTTCTGTTTTTATGGATTCTTCTGCCTGCAGGAAGAAGCCCCTCCAACCAAAGCAAAAGGCAGGGCTTATTAAAGACTACAGAGGGGACATTGTACACCCCAACCTGGCAAGGTATTCCAGGGTTGGACTGTCCTCACCAAATCGCGCTCTGCCAAGAAGTCATTATTTTTAATATTATTCAGAAATAATCTCCTTGGCTTCTGTTCAAACCGTCATAAGTGCCAAATTATTATAGTCCAAATTGATGATGATTTACTGTGACATTTTCTGGTAACTCAGCACTTTAGTCTTCCTAGAGACAGACTGGAAGTGTTCCTGTTTGTTTCCTTTTACTTACTCGTTACACACCCCACCCTCCAGCCCCACCCCCATCTCGTCCCTACCCTCACAAAAGAGAGAGAATGATCCCTTGCAGAACCAGTGTGGTTTTAGTACAAAGTTAGCTTAGGCTATTAATATGTGCTATCAAAAATAGATTTCTTAGCTGAAAAAGTAAGATGGCTTCTATAACATACCCTTGGCCAATGGGGGCCTCCAGTTACGGTAGGACTTGAACAGATCGATAGTGATGTGCTGCAGGGTGGATCGTTTGGGGTGCTGACAATATCTGGTATTGATATTGTCAATGTAGAAAGTAGAACAATGCTCAGTTCTACTTTCCTCAATTCCTATTAAAGGCTACGAGTGTAAGGAAAGTCTGTATCTTTTTCTTCCCTCTAGTCAGCCACTGCCTCCCCTGCCCTTGTCATAGTCTGTATGGTATCAGGGTGATGTCCGCGTTGGGTTCTAAAGCAGTAACTGTGCCAGTAAGACGGGTCTTACGTCATATTTGCATTCAGTGCTCTCTTTCGTAGCCCACACTTCCCTCAAGCTTAGATCATTTGAAGCTGTGGGTTTATAGGCCTGCACTTCCTTACATTAAAAGGTGAGTTTAACCCTGCGTGCAAAGGTAGTAATTCCCACCCAGGGAGAAATTGGAAAAACTAATCCCTGTTCTTTCCTGAGCGACCTAGGGCCACCGAGCACCTCCAGGGCCCTCCCGTGTGTGCTGGGCAGCCTTGGCTTTGTCGGCCCTGCCGCCTTGCTTCTGGTCTCCCGGGACAGCAGTACCTAGATTTCCCGATCTCGGTGACGTTCTAAAAATCGTTTTTTCTCTTGTTGCTGAAAGATCACAGGTATCTTTAGTAGCTACAAAATTACAGGATTTGAAAATCTGGGAATATGTGCACATTTTTCTTTAAGGGAACACTAAGCTGAAATGTGTATTAACCTTGAAACCAAATTCCCCAATTATGTCAGTGATTCAGATTTATGTTAGTTGCAAGAACTTCAGTGAATTTGTTAATCCTCATTTAATAGGCCCTAAGAGATGAGGCATTTGCCTTGGGTGACCCAGCAAGTCAGCTGCATATTCTTTTATTATTAATCTAAAACCCAAGCCCCACAGTGTAAAAAAATCAGCATTTTTGTTTTCCACACCTCTACTGCTCCTGCTTTCCCTTTTGCAGGTTGGTTGAGGGATATTAATGGACAGATGAAGGACTGGCTAGAAGGAGAGAGAAGAGGGGCCGCTGTCTCTGAACTGTAGTGTGTCCTGGTGGCCCGTGTGGCAATGTGTCATGTAAAACTAAGAGAAAGGAAAACACTGGCATTAAAAGACCCTAAATTTTTTCTGTTATCTCTGTGTTGATCTGCTCCTGTAGAGTTTTTCTTGCACATTCATTATCTTGACACCACCTTCTACTCTATAAACAAAACATTTCCTCTAATTTCTTGGTTCAGGGAAAAGCCTCTTGTTGAGGAGATGGCCATCGTGGGGGATGAGAGGGAGACAGAGGGAAAGAGGGAGCAAGTTTTATCACATTATGTAGCAACAATCCATTAGATGGTAATTTCTACTAAAAAGCACTCTTTAAAGGGAAAGAAATGTGTTCACTTTGATGAGTAAAGAGAAAAATTACATGTGTAGTTTTCTGATTTACAAGGGGCCTTTGGAAGGCACAGTGAAATATTAAGGGCCTCGCTAAGGCTGACGTGAGGCTGGGCAAATGCGCGCCTCCCAGGTGTTCCCCGCCGATTCATCCGTGGGTCAGTGTACTGCTTCACACGTCCATAAGGAAAATGAGTTTTAGGAATTTACCCTTCTGGTTGGCTTAGCTTGCCCCTCTCGGAATTGATTTTGTTTGCTCTGGAAATGCCCATCTCTCTCTGCGTCACACTTGTCCGGCTAAATGCACCACATAGTTGAGACTGCCTAGCCCCCCACCGTGTTCATGACCACGGGCGTCCAGGGGGCCTCGCTGCTGCACGACGCGCAAGTCCCCGCACTCCCAAACCTCCTGGCTCTCAGGGGGCGGCTTTGCCTCCTTTACCACTGAGAAGACAGGAACCATTAGAATAGGGTTTCTACAGGCCACCACCTTGATGTCCACCCTCCTACTGGCATCGCAGCTCCTCATCTCTGCCTTCCCTTCAGGTGAGTGCTCCATATTCCTGTCTGAGATCCTCCGTGGATTGGTCTTGTCCTCTCTGGCCTACTCAACTATATTAACTCCAACAATTCTTCCTTCTCATTCCTACAAGTCCGACTTTGCCCCCTCTACTAGATTTTTCTCATCAACGTATAAATATGCCGTTAAATCTCCCAACCTAAAAATGCAGCCAAAACAAACCCTCTTTTAATGCTATGCTGATCCATCCTCCAGCTAAGCCTCCTCACTTTCTTTTACTCCCCCCACAGCCAGATTCTTGGAGAGAGATGGAGTGCCCCCCTCCTCCTCTTCTACTCTCTCCCGAACCGACCTGTGTCAGGCTTTTGCCCACACTGTGCCAGGGAGGTGGCTCTTCATAAGCTCCCCAGGGACTTCCAACTGCCTAAACCACATGGGTGATTCTTAGTCTTCATCTCACTTGACTTTCCATCAGCTTTTGATACAGCGAGTCAATCCTTATCCTTGAAACACCCTTTTCTCAAACTGCCACATCTAAAGTTAGAAGTATCCCAGAACTCTTCTGTCACTTTTCTCTGCAGCACTCATTCTCTGTGACCTCAGCTGGCCTTGTGGCTTTAAAAACCATCTACATACTTGGGTGTCCAGACTTTTGGTGTCTCCGGGCCACCCTGGAAGAAGAAGAGTTGTCTTGGGCCACACGTGAAATACATTGAGACACATAATCACAAAACAATCTCATAATGTGTTAAGTAATCTCACGATTTTGTGTTGGGCCACATTCCTAGCCATCCGGAGCCACGTGCGGCCAAGGGCCACAGGTTGGCCACCCCCGAAAAGTGATGATTCGAGCCCAGACCTCTCCTGTACGCAAGACTTTTATGTGCAGATGACTATATGTTATATTCTTACTTAGGTATAGAATTTTATATGCTCTAAATCAAGCCGAGTTCTCCTCAAATTTGTTTTTCCTGAAGTCTTCTCTAACTAGTGAATGAAATCTCCCTTTCCAGTTACTCAAGCCAAAATTCTATAAATCATCCTTAAATTTTCTCATCCTCTACTATCCATATCCAACCCACCCGCAAATACCGTTGGTCTATCTTCAAAATATATCCTGAATCCATATACTGCTCACCACATCCACTGCTACCGCCCCTGGTCTGAGCGGCCATCTGGCCCCGTCTGGGTTATTGCGGCGCTTTACTGTTCTTCCTGCCTCCACCTCGTGTCTCTGCAATCTGTTCTCAAGAAAGCGGCCAGAACCACCCTGCTAAAACCCCGTAATGAGTAAGAGAGGGTCGTCTAATGGCCTCCAAGCATTCCATGAACTGGCCCCTCCTGGCACTCTCCCATTGTCACTGTTCCAGCCACACTAGCTGCACCGATATTGCTCCCGCCCACCAGCCACATGGCGGCTTCAGTGCCCTCTGCCTGGAGCGCTCTCCCGTCTCTCACTTCCCTCAGACCTCTGCGCCAATGTCCCTTCGGCTCAAATTGGCCTTGCTTTAGGCTATATTAGCAGTAATTCTGCCAACACCCCGCATTCCCTTTTCCCTGCTTAATTTTCCTCCATAGTACTTACCATCATTTGATACATCTTTACTTGTTCATTAGCTCACTGTCTTTCTGATCCTCCCTCACTAGAATTAATCTCGATTGCGGCAACTACACTGTGTTTTTTGTTGACTGCTTGTACCTCTCCCTGACAGGATACCTGGCCCATCGCAAATATTTATTGAATGAATGAAGTGCAGTTAAAAACTCCTGCTGTGAAGTTAGACATTCACAGTAATTTAGTCAAAGCCCAAGGCATTGGTTGTCTGTCCTGTGGCACTAGTTCACTTGCAGTTTTTCTTACCCACTGCTTCACGCCGCTGAGCTGTACCATGTAGTAATGTAAAAACTGCGTTGTCTTTTCCCACATCACGTAAGAGCTGCCAAGGAAGGCCAAATCCCACATGGGCCTCAGAGAGGGATCGATATGTCCGTAACTGTCTGAGAGCACAGAAACCGAAAAACAAAACCATTCGTATTACTCATTTTCAGGACAAAATTTCAGTAATTAAATAAGGGCTTGGTCACATGAGTCTTCTCTCTCACAGCAAGACCTGCAGCAATATTTGTATCTGTTTCTCCATTATACTAAGATTCACATGCTTCAAGTAAAGCTATTATAAAACAATTTCAAGGCTATTTGCTGTACTATATAAGTGAAAAGTAATGATAAATGATACTCAAAGTTAATCTAAAATCTTGTTAGTTGAGAAGCATTTTATAATTAGATCAAAACGCCTCTCAGTTATCTTCCCCCATTACCTCTTGGTTTGGGGTCTCCAGTCAACGCGATCCCCTTTGCCAATCTGCCAGCTCTTTGTCCTTCTCCGATACACGTATTGGCGACGTGTCTCTCGCTTTTTTTGAACACATGAAGGAATCAACTGAGTTTATCCTGTGGCATTGTTTTTGGACCGAAAATCTTTTAAATTCAGCAAACATTTGCAAAAAAAGCCTACTTAATATCAGATACCGCTAGAGGTAGGGATACAGTCATTAATAAATGACCTCGTGTGACTTTTAGGAATTCAAATTTTAGTGAGTAATTTATGAGATAATTGTTCATGGACTTGTGAACTGAAAACCCATTAGCAGAGAAGATAAATTAGTTATACGAAATGCAGTGAATAATGAGGGCGTTTGAAAGCACAAATGCTAGCGGCGCTGCTCTGGAACCAGACGAGCGGCTTCGGCTGCCCGTCCCCAGTCCTTCCCTTTCTGTGCAGCATATACTTGGGCTCATCCGTAGGAAGTTTATGACTTCATTAGGAAAAGTGAAATTTTGACTCATAATAAAACCCAGACAAGTGCTTTTTCAAGGGAAAAACAGTGTGGAGCAAGGCCGTCCTGAAACGGGTTAGCTCGTCTCACTCATCAATGGGAGAGAAACCACACGACCCCAGCCAGTACCTCAGGCTGATTAGTCCTGAGCAGAATCTGCTGAGATCTGAACTGGCTACTCCAAGGATGGGTCTGTGGTTTTTATTCACTTTATCTAAAACCAAACTCACTTTTTCAGTTTTAAATAGACAATTTTATATACATAGATAGGCTATAAATAGCACCATTAAATGTCTCTGCTGAACTTAAAGTGACAGGAGAATTGTAAGTTTTGTTGATGAAAAGGTACCCGCTATTAAAAAAATATTTTGAAGCTTCGTTGTAGCCATATTAAGTTAGATTGTAGTAGAATGATCCTTGTGGGCATATAGGGTTTATTAATTGAACATGAACCAGTTAAACTGCACTTTTAAAAAGTATCCAAAATCTAGGAATATTGTGGCAAATCTTCAACAAAAAGGTCCTACACAATTTCTAAAATTTGTGTTTGAAAGAGGATGTATAAAACCCTATTTCCCCAACTAATGCTAAGGGAAGAAAAAAAACCCCTAAATAACTATGTATTTAAAGTATTTGCCATTTGCCCATTTATTTCAGGCAGTGCTACATGAGAACAAATTCTATACGACAGGATTTGAGTTGTTCTTCACAATTACTTGGAACAGGATTTAATATGAGTTGTCAGAAAACCGTAATAAGAGTTAGTCAAGCTCCTGAACTTCAGAAATGCAAGGATCAGCGATCCACCTCCAGGTTTTGAGAACACTTAGTCTCAGTAAATTGATGGGGCTCAGAAGCGTCACCCCATCAGAATGGAGTGCTCAGGATGGAGACCACAGGCCTCCCACGCTGACACAGGCCTGTCACAGTCTCTGGGCAAATGAGTGAACTGCAGTGGTCAGGTGTCAACCCTAATACCCAAGCGCAAGTCCAGAGATGACTCTTGTGGTTCTGCAAATTGAATTTGCCGGTAAGTACTGAGGCTCCGCTGCGGCCCGCACGCTGCTGAGCGCCAGGACAAACGGGCTCTGCTTCGCTTCAGCTGCGGACAGGGCTCGTTCCTGATGAGAGATGGCACCGCTGCCCATTAGCTGTTGCCCTAAAATAAGATAAACTCGACTCCACCGCAGACTCCTGCGAGGCCTGGAGACGGTCGGTCGGTCGGCTCGCTCAGCCCTGGCACGGAGGGCCGTGGCGGGCACAGCGGAGGCCCTGACTGGCATCTTGTCCCCTCAAGTTTCCAAAGCTACCACCAGGAACCTCTAGAAATGTCATCTCATGTCCTAGATTTTACCCGGGAAAGTGTACCCCTACATGTGTGACCTGTTGCTAAGACCTCTACCAATTCCTTGGAGACTGACCTCGCCTTTCCCTTGTCTGGGTGGGGAGGCGGGGAGATGTAAAGGGCACACACCCTCCTTGTACTGGAGGCAAAAAACAGGAACATGATATCAAGGGGGACCACATTTTACAGTTGGATTGAAATGCCATTTGGGGCGATAAAAATTTAAATGATGATTCTTCTTAAGATTTCATAATCACATACATTCCTGAATACAGAAATTCCAGACATTGGTTCATACCGGGTATGCTGCCTACATCCAAGGGGTTTTTAAGTTGCTTCATATGTTTGTAAAGCAGGTAATCCGCTTGTTGTCTTTCGCTCTTCTCCATGAACCGTGTACAGGTGACATTAATGGCCGGTCTGGGCTTCTCATTCTTGAAAATCACTCGAGCAGAACACTTACTCAAAGGTTCCTCCTCACCTTCCTGAAATTAATATTTTGGAATTAAATAGGTTGTTTCCTACTCACGCCCCACCCACCCCAATACACAAACACACACAGTTGGGTAATTCCTTGTACCTGGCAGGTTATCAGTAGTATCAACAAACCTAAGGGCCTTTGCTTTGTAGAAAGTGAGTTTTGTGCTCACAGCTGAATACAAACAATAGTCCTTCACTCGTTGCTGTCATGTAAACAGCTTGCTGCTGCTGCCCTTATAAAATAATGTCTGGCCTGTTTCAAAGAAACACCGCTGATGTCTCGTGAGTACTGCTTGGATCCAACTTCTATGATAGTGGGCACTTTATTCTTGACTGCGGACCAATGTAATGCTTCGCTGGACCTCAAGCTTGCTAACTTGAACCTGAACATGAAGCTGACTCCTCTTAACAAAAATGGCAACATCTTCCTGCTGCTGTATGAACTTGGTCTTATTCTAATTTTACAGATTAAAGAGGAAGCCACTCCATGTCTCACACGAGGAAGTGGGAAGCCAGGACTTGAGTGCATGTCTGTCTGATGCCCAAGCTCTGGCTTTGCACGAACTCCACGTGCCGCCTCTGAGATCTAATCCGGGTGCAGTGGAGGCAGAGATTGCCCAGATGGGGCTGATTCAGCTGCCTCGTGTGACTGACGTTACGTTAGTTTGCATTCACTGTAGATGTGCACATGCTGAGCTTTCAGGGGTCCCCTTCTGCATATCCCACCCAGAGACATCTGGAACTGCATAGTGATGCATCAAGTGGATATCAAACGTATGGCTCATTTTAAGGACAGTGCTTCTCTATCCTTTTAGAAAGGTCACATAGTCCCAGAAAAAAATGCACACATGTGCATCCCATCAACAATGGGCCTAGAATTTGAGGAAGTTCATGGGCCACTGTGAGTCATGGCTCCACTCAGACCCATCCATGGGCCCCGAGTTAACTCCTGTTATAAAGTGGTTGGTTGAGCTGTTGAGTTCTTTTTGCTTTTTCAGTTGTTTAAACTGGGTGGTCTCAATTAAAACAACAACAACAACACCACAAACCTTTTTTAAAAAGCCCCCAAGGAAACAGCCTGTCTTTAAAATTGAATCTGCTTATCGGCTTTCCAATGGGCAACTTTTCCTCCTGTGAGTGCTAGTTTTGAGTGAGAGGAAATTTCCATGGTGCATTAAAATCCTAATAAATAGTGCAACGTAAGAAAAAGAGGTGAAGGGCATCAGGAAGAGGCTTATCAAAGGCAGAAAATGGGCTGGCACATCCTTTGATGTCAAAGCCATTTTCAGGGAAGAAGAAAAAAAATAGGTATCGCCCTTTTTTGTTTTCCTTTCTTTTCTTTCCCCCAAAACAGCTCCACAGAATCAAAGCAGTTGTCTGAAGATGAAAGGACTCTCCTTACTCCATGAAATGGAACATTTCAATTAGCTAGCTGTGCTTTTGAGAAACATTGTTGGTCAAAATAATCTAGTAATTATTTTCTCTTTAGCTTTAAGCTAACACTTTCAGTTTGCAACACTGGCAGTTAAAGGCATCTTCCTTATGCTTTAAGAAAATTTTTAACTCAGGTTAATTAGCAAAGTCAGAGTATATTACTGTCTTGCTAGGACTTGTTTCTGAATACGAGTGAGCACTTTCCCCAAAGCACCAGGCTGAGGGTCATGGCTTCCCTTCTGAAGCTCTGCTGCCTGCAATACCTTAATGCTGGACACTGCCGGCTCTGCGCTGGCTGTTTGGACTTAGCACCACACAGGGAGAATTCAGGCTGCTCTCCCTCCACTCTGTTGCTGCCTCCCAGCTTAGCCCAGCACATGGAAGTTCATGTGGCTCCAATTTCTGTATTTTCTATTTACTTTCTTACTGAGGACAGGGGAAAGGAAATTGGCAAACCATGGCCCGCCTGGTCAGAATTACAGAGACCCCCTGGCTGGTGTGTCTTGTTTGCGGGGAGAGTCATCCCATAAACCGAAAGGCACATGACTAGGCTGCGGGTTTGGTCCCCAATCAGGACACTATGAGGCAATGGATCAGTTTCTCTCTCACATCAATGTTTCTCTCCCTCTCTCTCTTTTTCCCTCTCTCTCTAAAATCAATAAAGCATGTCTTCGGGTGAGAAAAAAAGAATTGCAGGGAAGCTGATGATGCCTGTGGCATGCATGGTCCTGCTCTGTGTTTTACAGAATGCCTCTATGTTAGGAAGCTTCTGGAATTGGCCTCACGTTATGCTGGTCTGCTAACAAGAAATGCCACCAGCTGACGGGAAGAGGAACAGGTTGGCATTTGAGAGTGAATCATTCTCAGGACTCTGGGGTGCTAGGGAGGGTTACCCAAGGGAGCTGTGAAAGTCCCCCCCGGGGCCGAGGCAGGAGGAGTGAAGGCTGTGTGGGCTGTTTTAAACGCAGCCTTACAAAAGGAGTAAAATCCTGAGTTCCTGCCTAGCTCTGCTCCTCAGTTCTTGAAAACAAACAGAAAACAAAGGAAAAAAAAACACGCAACCCTTCATGTCACTATATATTAATATTCTTACTCTTTAAAGATGTTATTTGTTTATTTTTAGAGAGAAGGGAAGGGAGGGAGAAAAAGAGGGAGAGAGACACTGATGTGTGAAAGATCCACTGATGGGTTGTCTCTCACACACCCCCAACTGGGGACCTGGCCCACAACCCAGGCATGTGCACAACTGGGAATTGAACCATTTGGTTAACAGGCTGGCACTCGATCCACTGAGCCACACCAGCCAGGGGCAATATTCTTACTCTAAAAAATACATTCATCAGTGTTGCTAATAAGATCCTTCGTGAATTATGGCGGCTTACCTCTGGGTGATAGCGCTCTGTGGTGAACACCAGATCAACTTGACTTTCCTTCTTTGAATTAACCTGAAATACAGAAACCGAGTCTCAGCTCTTGGAAGCTCTGATAGCACCTCCATTCCCATGAATCACAGCTCGGGAGAGCATGGCTTGGGAATGGTCGATGCAGCCGCTGTACCTGAGCACCATCCGTGCTTTCTCAGAAGGCGGGAAGATCTATTTGGGTCTCATCATGCCATTTTGCCTGCTGGCTGACACCTACTCACAACCAGGAGGTTGAGAAAGAGAAGCGGCTGCGCTGAGGCTGAAAGCGGGCTCCGGGGGAGCGGCTCCGGGAGCACAGCGGGCATCTGCAGCGCTGTGGGTGAGCTCCTTCGCTCCCCAGCTGCTCAGCGCCTGGCCACGCCCAGCCCTGGGCCCTGGGCTGCATCCCAGCCTCTCCCCGCTGCCGATTTTGGTTGAACTGGGGGTCTGGCAATCAGGCGCACCCAGTAATAAACAATGGGATTTCAGGTGGTGACCCTGAAGTAAGGGACCAGTGGGGCAGAAGTGACCGTTTTCCCCACAAAGGTGTGCAGGAGGGACGGTTCTATCACGCGGCCAGTGCCAGACCGGAGAGCTAGGTCAGGGCCAGAACAGAGACTGATTCCTGAAGTCCCCTCGGAGATGGGCTGATCGACCCTCTCCCTGTGCCCCGCAGTGTGCTGGGCGCTGGACCAGGCTGCTGCCCTTCCCCTGACAAGCCCGCAAGGCAGTTTCCCTTATCTGACACTGGTACCGCCCCCCATCCATCCTGCCCTGTTCTACGTAATTCCTTAGCCCCTGCCCAGTGGCACGGAGGATATCCACTCGGCCTTTCGACTACCCAAGGCTTGCCTTATATGTAAATGTCCCTTAATCAACTCTGTTTGTTGCCCAACTGGAATGGCCTGCATTTTCAGTCCTTCCCAGCCCGCCCTCACAGAGGTAAACTTTCCGTCTCAGGGCTTTTCCCTGCAGGCGGGCGGGCGGGCCAACAGGCGCTCAGGGAAGGTGCCTGGGAGGAGGGTAGACCAGCTGAGGCCTGAGGGCAGCAGGGAGCCAGCCCCCCACTGCCCCGGGGTGCAGCAGAGGGAGCTGCCAGCGTGCAGAGTGGGTGGATTCGCCTTAGTCTCAGGGCGAATTACCAACCGGCCAGGCCCTCCGCTGTGCGGGTCTCTCCTTCCACGAGCAGACATCTTCTGAACTTTGGAAACCTATGTTCAGCTTTTGTAAATGTATAAATTGATTCCAATGGATATTTTTAGAGTATGCATACCCAAATCATTAAGGCAATTTACTGTTTAGAAGTCCTTTATATCATTTGCCATCATCTTTTTAAATATTTATATATATTCTTTTAAAGCAAAATGATCATGCAGTACAAGGAATATTTTCTAGGGAAGAAAGAAGACCTTTGTCCTGCAGGGAGCTGAAGTTTGGTCATGTGACCCCAATCAAGTCAAACTCTGGAAACGCTGACCTCCGTTGTCCCTCAGCCCAGGAGCACAATAACTGAACAGGATGATCTCACCTTAGATAGACCACATATCGTCCACTATGGTTACAGAATCTTTCAAAAATTCTGGGAAGCTCAAGAATGGAGGGATAGGATTTTGTGGCAGTTACTTATGTAAAGAATATTTAAACATGTGAATGTATAGATGTTGCTGGGGGTAAGAGGACCCAGCATCGAGGATAGGGCTCATTTTCAACCTTGAAACACGTTCTGGTGTAAATCGAAACACTGCTTTCAATGAACAACACTCATAGATGCAGGTCTGTCTTCTCTCTCATTCACTGTTCTCCCCCTGGTATGCCAGGCCCTCAGGCCATACAAAGAAATATAGCATCCAGTCCAGTTCAGTCTTAAGTCAGAAACCTGCTTCTGCAATGGAAAGAGGCCAGTCACCGGCTACGCCGCCCATCAGTGTGGCTGAGTGCTGCCTACGCACAGGGCGCTAGGGGAGGGGGGCTTTCTAGAACAGGTGGGGCCTGAACTAGTTCTCCGAGAAGCAAGTGCTGGCCAGGCAAAGGCATGGGATTGGAGTTGTGGACGAAAAAAGGTTTCTATGGAAAGTTAACCTCAAGGGGGATCTAACTGTGAATTCCTAACTGACCAGGTCAAAGTGGTTGGAGTGCCATGGTCACGTGCTAGGTCTGTAACTTCTTCAGGGAAAGGTTTTAAGTCATTTTCTTGTGCCTCTAGGTTAACACGCCTTTGAAATGCCAGAAGTAATACTCCTCAAAGGGCAGATTACTCCTGAAGAGAGCACATAATCTTGTTAACTGTCCCGCAATCCAGCCCCCACCTGGCTTCCTCCCACCTTCCTGCCACCTTCCTGACATTCCCTCCAGAGCATTTGAGATCTTGCCCTGTGTCCTATGTGGTCAGTTTGGCTCAAATGAACCCTTACAAAAATCCTCCATAGGTCTGGATGTTTCTTATGTCGACAGAGTATAAGGGGCTGGCCCTCCAGGGAGGCAGCAAAGCTAGGAAAAGGCTGTGGCATGTGGCCCAAGGTCAGGAAGGGCTCACTTTTTTATGAAGAGGACTTAGAACTTGACACCAAAGTCTGTGGGAGCCCCAGTAAAGCTGACAACAGTACTCAGGGTGTTATTGTAGTAGGCAGTCAGACAGGCCTGAGCAGAGGAGGGACAATGGACCCAGTACAACAGTGTGTCGCCAGGTCAGGGAGCCCCGGGTGCCTAGCAAGGGACCAAAATGCAAGCCCTTGCACGACCGCTCCCTTAGGCATGAACTCCTGGAGAGGATGTCTAGGCCTCAGCTGTGTTTAGGCTCCAGGCCTAGAGAAGCCACAAAACCAGGTGCAGGAATGCTGTGGCCCAGGACTAATCAGTGGAGACCACAACTCTGAGGAGACACACCCAGAAAGCTGATGAATATTCTGCTGAGATCCTCCCCGGAGACCTCAGATAAAAGCTCTTAAGATGGAGGACACAGCAAGACCCTCTCTAGGGAGCATGCCAGCACCTGTCCCCTCCCCCTTCTTTCCACAGGGGATGCCTGCGCTCTCTCCCCCTCCCCCCACACATGCCCCCAGCACGCCTGAACCTGGCCTCCCTCCATCTTGTCCCCTGTCTCAAGGCCATGTCTCTCTCCCCACCTCTGAAGCTCTGAGGGCCCTTCTTTTGCTGTAACTCGTTTGCTGACCCATTTCCTCTACCGCTCACTTCTCCCTGTATGACTTTCTAAGTAACTTTCTCTTATATCATGCGTCTTGGCTCTGAAACCCTCTCGTGTCCGGAACTCCAGAACTGTCATTGCTGAACCGAGATTAACACCTGGTGCCGTTTTTCTGCTGCTAATATAATGAAGAGTTGACACACCGCTTTAAACAGCCTGGGTCAGGGTCAAAGTCCAATGTCCGTTCACTGTGTGTTTATCATTATTAAAATCTGTGGACATGACGGGGAGAAGGCACTGTATTAGAAACCAGAGTCGGGCCCTGGTTTGAGGGGAAAATGAAAATGCAGATTCCTGTCTAAGACTTGGGTTTACTCCTGAGGCTCCCAGGGAAAGGGTGTAAAATGCGGCCTGCGCGACAGTGGCTGGAGGAGGTGCTCCCCAGGCATTTGTCCCCATCTCCTGGCATTCGGTGTCCTCACTACCCTGCCCGAGTTAGAGGAACACACGGGCCTGCTGCCCGTGACGCCCTCGGCCACAGCGGCCCCCACAGACAGCTCAACTCACAGAAGGCAGCCCTTCCACGTGCCAGCAGGGTCTATGCCTTGCTCTGCTGGCTGCACCAGCCTGGGAGGCCTCCCGCCTACTGCGTGCAGGACCAGCACCCGAGTGCAGGCCTCTTACACGAGAGTCAGGGACGCCCCTCAGTCTGCCAGGTGGAGGGTGACAGGGGTCAGTGGTGAGGCCATTCCTGAGACGTGGAGGAGGAAGTGGAGGTGGCAGGGACACTTTGGTGCTGGGGGACATCAGAGCCATCCAGGAGGCAGCTGGATGGATAGAAGCAGATTCAGCGGAGGTGATAGGGGAACTCAGGAATTAAAATTTTAGTCTTAGCTGATGGACATAAGTGATTAATGAATATGGAAAGCTGTAGCTCCGGAGTCATTAAAGATTTTAGCCTTAGTTGACAGGCTTCAATGACTAACGCCTGTGGAGAGCTGTTCTTCCAGGAACTGGAAGGCAACTCCTGGAGGGTGACAAGCAATGCAAGCTCTGTGCCCCAGGGGTCTGCAAGCTGTGGAGGTGGTATCTGAGCCCTTGTATTCCAGGGAGGGTTACCAGGCAGAGAAAGGATTGTTGATCAACAGATAAAGAAATACTAGAAAAATTGCTGCTGTACCGCAACTCATCCAATTAGCCTTTCTTCTAAACCCCTTCCTTATCTACCCTTCTATCTAATTAATGTTTTTCCAAACCCTTTACCCACCCTTTCTTCTCCTTATGAAAAGGTTGGCTTGACATGAAGTGTTAAGGTGGTTCTGAGGGTGAATACAGCACCCTTAAAGGTTCAATCCTTGTCTCTACGTATCGGTTCTGGTAATGACAAGCAACACAAACATTGGAACCTGACTTTTCTGGTTTCATGAAAGTGGCTGAAGCCATTGAATTTGATGCAATCTCCAGGGGAAGATGTACACACCAAAAACTCTGAGGACCACCAACCATCACATCAATATTAAAATGCATCATGTTTATTGGCTGCACACGAGGGCTCACAATGTGGATGGAAAAAGATCTGATCATAAATCCGCACTGGGCAGGTCATAGTGAGCAGTCACGCCCCAGGCATATAAGTTTTCAGTTAAAGATTTATCTTTGCCTTAAGCAAGTCTAGTCATTGTTTTTGCATGTAGGTAACAGACCTTTGAGATAACCACCCTCAAGAGAGCACGTGGTCCTGTTAACTATCCTGTAATCCAATCCCCGCCGTGCTTTCTCTCTCCTCCTTGTAACCTTGCTCACCTTTCCTCCTTAGTTCCAAACCTATAAAAGACAGGGCTGTTCTCCAGAGCATGTGAGATCTTGCTCCCCAGCATGTCAGCAGCTTGCCTCAGGTCAA